TGCTGTAGGTGCTTCAGCTGGTCAGCTGTGTTGTGTCCAGGCATCCAGGACAGGGGGGAAAAGGAGGAGGGCACCCAAGAGCTGGGCAGTGCAGGGCAGGGGCACCGCTGGGCTGTGGCAGCTCAGCAGGAGCTGGCACAGGAGGAGACAGCATGGGAGACAGGCGGCTGTGATGGATGCCGCCCACGTGCTGTCCTCTATCTCCCTGCCAAGGGGCTGTAAGCACGCTTCCAGGAGAGGAAAGGAACTGCCATTTCCTATCCCAATCTGCAGGACTTGCTGCTGCAGGGCTTTCTGCTAGCCAGGGGCTTAGCCAAACTCAAATATCACCCATCCCTCACTCCCAAAGGGTTTTGTCTGGCAGTGAAGAAGACCAAGTCGAACATGGCAACGGGAAACCTTCAGGCCTGATGGCTATTAGCTTTTGTGTTTGAAAAGAAAATGCTGACATTTATGAACCCCTCCAGTCTCTGCCTCTCTTTCCAGAGGGCACCACTGGCCATGCAGTCTCTGCCTTCCCAGGGACACGGACAATCCTGGGACCCCCCACTTCAGTGTGGGCTTCAGGGATATCCTGTGCTCCCCAATACCTGCAACCTCAGCTGAGTTTGCATGTCACAGCTCCCTGCAGTGTGTCATCCCCCTGGTACCCTCAAAGGAGGTCAAGCCAGCCAATACTTGTCCTCAGGAGGTGACTTCCAAAGTCCCCACTACTGCTCTGCCCTAGCAATGGGGTGCTGCCTAATTGCCTTCTTCCACCTTCCTGTCCTGCTGGGAGCCTCCCTTGCTCCCTCCCAGAGCCAGGAAAGCTCATTACGACTTGTGCAGTGCTCGCACAGGGAATGCACCATGATTCCGGAGCATCTGGCACAGGAACAGCCCCCTCACGGCTGCTCGTGCTGCAGCAACAGACCTGACTGGCAGCAGCTGTCCTTACTAGAGGTAGTAGCTCCGGGATCATGTGGGGCACTGTGTTTCCCAGCAGACCAGGGCATCGGGCTGTCCCAAAGCGAGCTGTCCCTGTCCTCTGGCACAGAGGCTGAGCTGCTCCCGGCTGCCACCCATTCCTGCACACCAGCGTCCCCATCTCTGCCTTCCCTCAGCCTGGCATGCTGGGCGTTCTGATCCCGGCAAAATGTGGCTTCAGCATTCCCATGGAGCCTCCCACAAGCTGCCTCCACACCATCCTGGGGCAGCTGCAGGGTGCACCTTGGTGTGACCCAAGTCCCCCGCCTTGTCCCTCTGTTACTGCCCACGGCGGTGAGGAGCAGTGCCCAGTCCCTGGCTGTGGCTCACAGGCTGCACAGCTAGCTCCAGCCCCCCTGCTCTACCACAAAGAGGAGATGGGGCACGGCAGAGCCTGTGCCCACAGGGACAATGGGGAAGTCCCAAAACCTGCCAGAAGCAGGTCAGAAAAGAAAGAAAGAGAAGAAGGATGTCCTCAGCCTGATGAAGAGTCAGCCTGCTGTCTGGCTAATGAAGGTGACTAAAAGAGCATGAGGCAGTATATTTACTACATGTGTGTATACTTTGCAGCCAGTGGTTACTTTTCTGTGCTCAGCTAAGGAGTACAACACACCCTCAAGTCAGAAGGCAAACCGTATTTTGTTTCAATGCATTTCACTGTGGCTGCTGAAAACAAAGGGATGAAATAGTTCCCACCTCTGATTAATGGCAAATAAGGCACAACCAGCCAGAGCAAAGCAACAATTCCAGCTCCCTACAGACCCACAGGGGTGAATTGAACCCTTGCTCTGCACTTGTTTTCACCTACAGAAGGGTACCTGGTCCACTAGTACTGGAAACTAAAGATCAGGTGATGTCTGTGCCATCAGAGCCGCAGCAAAAAGAGCAGTACACGTCACCTCTCTTGGCTCAACAAGGCTCTCACTGGCTTGCAGTGTTTTACAGAGGCAGCCTGTGGAAACCTGCACTTGAGGGTCCAGAAACCAACTGCTCACATTTTGTTAAGCCACAGTAGATGGAGGCAGGCCAGCAGAACGCTTGCCTTCCTCAGGAGGCATCTCTGTCTTGCAGCCACACTGTATCACCCACCACAATCACAAAAACATTGTTTTCCCTGTCTTTGGCCCGGTGCAGTTTTTGTTTGGCCGCTTTCCTTTAGCTTCTCACCTAGGAGCCACTGATGAACAATCCTCACAAGCAGTCCCCACATTCCCTGAGGGAAACTCTCCCGGGGGTCACACTGATCAGAGCCAAAACACGTTGAACTGGCCCCAGAATCACACAGACAAGCGCGCTCCCCCTGCCCCAGGCACGGACATGTGCACACAAACACCCCAGCTCACACTCACTTGCTGCTTGGTAGTAAAAGTGGGTGAACTACACAGGGATTAAAGCATTAAAAAAAACACAGCGAGAATACGGTGCTTGAAAGAGCCGTGTCCCTGGAGAGATTAGAGTAGCTGCCTGGAGATAAAGTAATGATGATGGAAAGATCTTCTTCCTCACAGAGATTCTCTCCCTAATTATCTTGTCTGAAAAGAAAAAATGATGATCTCCCAGCTTTTATCTGTCTCTTGACAATTTTAGCTCTGTGCCTGCCTTGTTGCAAGAGGCCCAAAAGAGGAAGGAGAAGGAATTAGCCCAGGAGGCAGGAATGGTAGGAGAACGAGCGGCACAGGAGGCAGTGCTTCATTTTTGTCACCACCAGCAGCGACAGAAAAGGAAAACATGAATGATCACTGCAGCTTTGTCTACCCAAGCCCAAAGGCCGCTTCCCTGCCCGCAGCACTGCTCTGTCAGGCACAGCACAGCCAGGATGTGAAAAACGCCAATCACTTGTTTTTGAAATTTTAAAAGTTTAATAGTAGTAATACAATCAGAATAATACAGTTTGAACAATTGAGGTTAGGACAATATGAGACAATAAAAACAAAGAGATACGGACGTGCGGGTACCTTTTTCTGGGCATCACAAGCCTGAAAAAGGACACCGGTTAACAGAGGATTAACCCTTAAAAACAATCGCCTGTTGCATATTCATACATCTCATACATGATGCATAAATTCCATTCAAACACAGGATTCTGTCTGGTCACTGTCAACTTCTTCCTCTTAATCCTCATGCCGTCCTCCTGTCTGAGCGAGGTGGGAAGAAGTTAGTTTTCTGCTGATAAGGGAGCAATAAATTCCCTTTCTCTGAAAGATTTAGGTGTCCTGTGGCATCCATCTGGTGCAAGTCCTTTCTTAACCAAATATCTTACACAGCATAGTTTCTATTTTAACATTATGTTATAACCTAAAACAGTATTTAATAGTTAATTTAATACTTAAGAAAATTAATACAGCATAACTTTCTAACTTAACACATACAATATTCATTTTAATACTTGCGAAAAGCCAATTATAAAATACACATTTTTCACACAGGAGGTCGGATTCACTGCCGAACCTGTGCAAGAGATTAACAGGGTGTTGTTCTCCCCACCATCACAGGGCACAGCTTGGTGCTACAGCCAGGGAAGAGGACTCCTGAGCTGGCAGGGGCAGGAGAGTGCCCAGATTGTTCCTCCCCCACTCTTTTCCTTCTCAAACAGCTGGAAAGCAAATTTACTTTCAGCAGGCAGCAAGCAGCAAGAACATTTCAAGCACACACCAGCCACAAGCACCACGTGAAAAATCAGACCCATGAGCCGCTCTGCAAGACAAGGATGGCCACTGATGGAAAACCAGGCATCACACCCAGCAGCTGGGGCTTTGCACAGGAGAAGTCTTTCCCTCGGTATTATCCTGGAGCTTGCTGCTTCTCCATCCTTGTTAATTTCGGATGAATGCAACCCTAAACCTCCCTGAAAACTGTTTAGAGGCAATCGGTGTTTGGCTAGCAGGGAGAAGAGACAACAGAGGTTTTGTAAGCCCAGAGCCAAGAAAAACCTCAAAACAAACAGACATTACAAGCATAAAGCTACAGAGGGAGGGAGGGAGGCGATTTTCTCCGTGGGGATGGAGGCTGGTGCTATAGGAGCTGTTTGCAAGCTCATGATTCATCCCCACAGCATCACTTTCTCCTTCTAAAGAAGGGACTCCTGTTGACACGCAAACATGAGCTGTTGCCTCTCCCACACAATGAGAACCGTGTCCAGTTCTGGAGTCCCCATCTCAGGAAGGACATTGAGGTGCTGAGGCATGTCCAGAGGAGGGCAATGGAGCTGCTGGAATGTCTGGAGCACAAATGCTGTGAGGGGCAGCTGGGGGAGCTGGGGTTGTTCAGCCTGGAGAGGGGCAGGCTCAGGCACCTGATCACTGCCCAGCTCCCTGAGAGGAGGCTCTGGCCAAGTGGGGTCAGCCTTTTCTCCCAAGCAACCAGACAGGACAAGAGGACATAGTCACAAGCTGCACCACGGGAGATTTAGGTGGGACATTAGCAGGAATTTTTTCACAGAAAGTGATTAGCCATGGGAATGGGCTGCCCAGGGAGGCGGTGGGGTCACCCACCCTGGGGGTGGGTAAGGAAAGGCTGGGTGCCATGGGCTGTCTGACATGGCGGAGTTCGGTCTCAGGCTGGACTCCATGATCTCAGAGGCGTTTCCTAACCTGATTCTGTGGGAATTTTTTTTTTTTAAACCAAACCAAAACAAAACAAAAATCAAAAAAAAACCCCAAAAAACAAACCAACAACAAAAAAAAACCCACACCACCAAAATTGCCCCAAATTGCTCCTTGTCCTTATATTTATCCTTGCTTTTTAAAAGAAAAAATACCTAGAACTAGGCCCATAAGGGGTTTTAGCCAGACCCCAGCTTGGGGGCCGGGGGGGGCCGGCACAGCACAGGCGCGCCGCGGCCACCCCACGGCCGCCAGCGCCCCAAGGCCCCACGCGGCGGCCGGCAGGGAGCCAGCCAATCAGAGGCGTCGGGCGGCGCGCCCCGTCCAATGGAGGCTGAGGGGGCGGGACTTCCCGCGCCGGTTGCTATGACAAGCGCGGCCCTTCCTTAGCAACGGCGCTGGGCCGCGGCGGCCGCGCAGGTGAGGCCGCGCCCGGCGCTGCGCGGCTCCGCTCGGTGCCGCTGGCCGAGCTCTTCCTCCGCGGGGACGAGGGCGGCGGGGCTGCTTCGGGTGTGCGGTCCGCTCGGGCCGCGTTCCGCTGCCTCACGCCCTCGGGCTGTGGCCGCGGGCACGCCCCGGGCCGGGGGTGGGTGTTGAAGGGGCTCCCGGAGGTGGCGCCGGCCCGGCGGAGAGTTCGGTCTCAGGCTGGACTCCATGATCTCAGAGGCGTTTCCTAACCTGATTCTGTGGGAATTTTTTTTTTTTAAACCAAACCAAAACAAAACAAAAATCAAAAAAAAACCCCAAAAAACAAACCAACAACAAAAAAAAACCCACACCACCAAAATTGCCCCAAATTGCTCCTTGTCCTTATATTTATCCTTGGTTTTTAAAAGAAAAAATACCTAGAACTAGGCCCATAAGGGGTTTTAGCCAGACCCCAGCTTGGGGGCCGGGGGGGGCCGGCACAGCACAGGCGCGCCGCGGCCACCCCACGGCCGCCAGCGCCCCAAGGCCCCACGCGGCGGCCGGCAGGGAGCCAGCCAATCAGAGGCGTCGGGCGGCGCGCCCCGTCCAATGGAGGCTGAGGGGGCGGGACTTCCCGCGCCGGTTGCTATGACAAGCGCGGCCCTTCCTTAGCAACGGCGCTGGGCCGCGGCGGCCGCGCAGGTGAGGCCGCGCCCGGCGCTGCGCGGCTCCGCTCGGTGCCGCTGGCCGAGCTCTTCCTCCGCGGGGACGAGGGCGGCGGGGCTGCTTCGGGTGTGCGGTCCGCTCGGGCCGCGTTCCGCTGCCTCACGCCCTCGGGCTGTGGCCGCGGGCACGCCCCGGGCCGGGGGTGGGTGTTGAAGGGGCTCCCGGAGGTGGCGGGGTTGTGTCCGGCGGGGTTCTGTCCGGCGGAGGTCGTGGCTTGGGTCGCCTGCGGGTCCCACGGGCCCCATGTGACTGTTGGTGGTCTGACTCGGTGCTTTAGCCGACAGCTCTGCGTACGTGGCATCCATGATGGTGTGTCGCCTGGCACCGTGTTGGCTTCGTTTTCCTTTTAGTATCAGCTCACCCTTGCTGCCCTGGGTAGGAGAGGAAGGTGCTTTGTTGTGGGGGAGAGAAGCAGAGGGAGGACGGCGGTGGAATGCTCTGAGTCTCTCGGCCAGGGCTGTGCTCTGCGGTGCCCGGGCAGAGGCAGGCTGGTGATGCGGCCCTGAGGCACGGCCAGAGTTTTCCCATATGGCCCTTCCCAGCTGACAAATGCTCGGGGATCTGAGGAGCAAGTGCACAAACGAGACCAAGATGTTCCTGTTAAACGTTTCCGTCCAGACGAGTACGCAGATTCTGTGCCTAAAATACTCCTGCCCTTCCCTTGTCATGTGCGGCTTGAAACTATTGCAGATAATAGTGTCCTGGGAAAATCCTTTTGGAATTAATCAAGAGTGGGGGCAGCTGATATATTGTTCTCTTGTCCTCTCCTGAAAGCTGTGACTTGGCTCAGCTCTTCCCTCAAGCTCCACTGGTGCTTCTGGGAAGTGCTGTGCTCCTCACTTATGGAGAAAGATGCGGTTTAATAATTTGTTTGCATTAATGGTCTGTGAGCTAAGACTCTCAGGGGCGTGAGAAGGTGCTGTTGAGGAAATGGCAAGTGAGTGAGATAGCATGATACTCTTGTAACAGTTTCGTTTGCCTTTTGTTTTCATTGAAAGCCATCTGTCTCTTGCCCATGTTTGTTTTTGTTGAAGCAGTGTCCTCTAGGCCAAGAAGCGACTCCTCCTGCTGAAGAGAGGAACACAGAGCCCTGTTCCTCTCAGCTGGCTGTGCTGCAGCACTTGCTGAACTCCAGGTAGCCCCTCTGCCCCTTCCTGGAGTCTCTGTGGAAGGACCATGGAAGAAACTGAGGAGGAAAAAAAGGACGAGGCTGATTATAAAAGGCTTCACAGTTTTCCTCTGATTAGGGTATGGAGGGAGATGGATTACACATTTACCAGTGTCAGAGATATGAAAATCTGCCTTCATTCTTACTGTCCTTCTCCTGCTGCGTAGCTGCTGTGAGAACATGTGTACTGCTGGTCCTGTGGAGAGATGCTGCTTGTCACTGCTGCTTTCTCCTTGTCCTTGACCTCTCCTGGGGAAATCTAATAGCTCTGGTGTTCCCTATGACAGCCAGAGGAAGCCTGGGGCAAAGTGATCCATCAAACAGATTGAGAGCACGCTGCCTTTGGAGCCCTCTCTTGTGTTTTGGATGCAGCTTGCTTTTTGTCCTGGAGAAGCTGGAGCAAAAGATCTTGCTGGCCAGCCAGATAGCAGCAGCAGAAGAAAAGGCTGTGTAATTTAGACTTCTTTGTTACTCATATAGCAATAATTAAGGGTTGTGGTGGAAACAGTGTTAGTGTTACAGCAGTGCTGTTAGTTACAGCAGAAAAACTGGCAGATGTCTTGATTTCCTTCTTTAAGCTGTGCTTACACAGTGCTAGTTTTCATGTAGGTAGAGAAGAATTCCTCATTGACTGGAGGAGGGGTTCACTTATAGTACAATGAGCCTTTTCATGTTTACTACATCTAAACCCCTGATAGAGCCAGTGCAGAAGTTAGAGCAACTTCCTGTTGTCCTGTGTGCAGCTCTTATTTTTCTGCTTCCTTGTCTTGTGCGACTGCCCCGTGCAGCACTCGGACATGCCGGAGGAGATGCGCGTGGAGACCATGGAGCTGTGCGTCACGGCCTGTGAGAAGCACGCCACCAACAACGAGGTACGCAGCCCAGGGAGCCTCAGCAGCACGGATAGGGGTGTAGGGCCCGGCAGAGCCAGGTCCTCACATCCCATTACTCTCTGCACTAAGCTGGGGTAGAAGGAGGCAAAGAGCTTGGCTAGATCTCAGATTCAGTTCCCTTGGTCTGCAAGATCTGTAATAGCACTTTGCAGAGATTAGCAGAGGTGCTGGCTCCCAGACCTTCCCTCTTGGCTTATCCTGCCTTCCTGAGACATGCTTCCACTCCTCTGTTCATAAAATGCCTTGTGTCCTGAGGGCTTGGCTCAGAACGGCATGGAGTATCTTGTTTTGGGGATGAGTACATGAAAGTCTGTTAAATATTCCCTCTTGGCTTTAGGACTAACGATCAAGGGACGACATACCTTGCTTCGTGGGCAGGGCACTGCCTGTCACTGAAAAATATTCCTCTTGCCTTTTTTAGGATCAAGCAGGGTGTGATCTGGGAGAAGCAAGCCTTTTAAAAGCCAGCCTACTTTCAGTGTTTTGGTAATTAGCTGGAGAAAAAAAAATGGACTCCTGTAAAAATAGCTGCAGCTTAGTGACCTGAATCTGCTCTCATGGTCACCGCAACCATTATAACTCCAGCAGCATCTAAAGCAGAACTCTTGCTTCACACCGTGTGAGCAACAGAAGTGATGCAGTTCTTTAATTTTTCCTTGCTGTTGTGCTGGAGGCTGCTGAGACCAGTCCTACCCTTGGGTTTACCTCTGGGGAGCTCCCAGTTCCTGAGGTGCAGCTGTTACACCTGTTGCCCATGGCTTGAATAGTCTTAAAGGGAGGAGGATATTAGGGTAATGTTTGCATAAAACCTCTCTGGTTGCTTTGTCTCACCCTATGCTGTCTTCCTTAATGTTCTCCAGAGCGCTGCCAAGATGATCAAAGAGACGATGGACAAGAGATTTGGGTCCTCCTGGCATGTGGTGATTGGGGAAGGCTTTGGCTTTGAGATCACTCATGAGGTGAAGAACCTGCTGTACATGTTCTTTGGTGGCAGCCTGGCCGTGTGTGTCTGGAAGTGCTCCTGACCCCTGGCCGGGTCCCAGACTTGCTGAATACAAGAGATTTCTTCCTGCTTTTGACAAGTTTTGTATGATCTGGAGGTGGGGCTTTATTTTTAATACTTAAATGTCAAGACTTCTTTTTTTCATACTGACGTAACAGTTCTGTGGGATACATAAAGTTGGTGTGTGTGTGTGTATAAATTTGCTAAACTGTCCTGTCCTTGCTTGTGGGATTTCTCATCTCCCTGTGGCTCTTTCCTTGGTGTTTGAGCTGGAGCAGGAGGGAAGTGAGGAATAGGTGATCTCACAACACACTGCACAGCAGTGCTAGCAGGGGAGAGTGAAAGCAAAAGGGTGCCATCTAGCCCTGTGGTTTTTCTTAACTCCCGTTTATTCCACATAGTTTTCCTCTCTCCTCTGCTTTCTCTGCTACCATGCAGTATGGCTCTGACCAGCACCTGTCTTTCCTCTCTGGATGCTGCTTATACGTTCTTCCTTTCTTCTAAGATGTCTGTGCAGACCTGACAGCACCAAGGGTCTCCCTTCAGGCTGTCTGTGGAGGTGTGAGCCACAGGGAAGCAGTCCCAGCTTGCCCTTCCCTGCTGTTTTGGGAGGGTACAACAGCTGAGCTGCCTGGGTGTAGGAGGTTGCTATGCAAACTGCCCCCTCCTTTCTCACCCACAGCACACTGAGACAGCATGAAAACACAGGCGGCTGACGATGCCTGGGGAGTGGGTGAGAGCTCTTTTTAAGGCTCAGATGCCTCCCTGTCAGTTCCTGGGGGTGTTGCAAGTGCTGTGTACTTTCAGCATCTTGTTTGGAGGCTGACAGAGAAAGGAGGCTCCATGTGAAATATAACTTGGTCATCAGAAACCTAATGTCTTTCTGGACTTGCATTCTTTTAGCCTGTTTCATTTTTTAAAGCTGTTGCTGTTGGAGGATCGAATGAGCGTAACTATGTTACACGTATGGCTTATTTATAAAACCTGGGGAACTGTGTTTTTTCAATAAAAGTTTAGTAAAATGTCTTTGCGTGTGTTTATGTAGGCAGAGTAGTTCAAGAAACATGGAAATAAGTAAGCCATGGTGTGGCACAGGCAGAGGCCAGTGACAGAGTTCCATCCTGCTGGTTTCCTGTGGGACTCTTCTCCTCCCTGTTCAGTTCCGTTTACCAGTGCAAGCCACGGTGGTGAGGAGGGTTGCCAGGCCCATGGTGCTGCTGGTCACATCCCTCTGTCCTGTCTGACAGGCAGCTGCCTAAGCAGTAGCAGCGAGGGAATGTCACTGTCTGCTGCTTCACCAGTGTGCCTCAACTCTGACTGTTGGAGTCTCGTATTTGTGCCTTCCTTAATTTTCAGATTTGCTCTCAGAATGTTGCCAGCTGACACTTCTAGTCCATAGTTAAGTCTGAAGGATCTTTCTGCATTAATGCCTGTGGTGGATCAACCTGGTCTTACAATTCCTTTTGTTCCTTTTTCTGAACCTCAAGTGTTATGCTAGAGATGTCCTTTCTCAATTTCATTGTGTCAGGGAGCCAGGAGTTGGAGCAATATGAAGACAACTAAGAATTATTTCAAATTTGGACCATCGGTGCTTGGCTGGGCCAGGGTAGGTTGGTACCATGATCCTGCCCCATGATCAGGATTGCTGTGCTGTGTGTAAGAGCCCAATCCTCTGAGCTCTCATTGTGCAGTTGCTCTGTGTCCCTCCAGCTGGCTGCCTTTATGTGAAGATAGTGCTATTGACAACACTTTCTACAGCTGGCAAGTGGAAAAGATTATTTCCTCTTCTTCAACTTTCTGTCTCTTCTAAATTCAGAGCAAGAGGTAAAGTCTTTGAAATGCCCCAAGCTGGAGTGGGATGATCCCTTCAGCAATACCATGGTCACTTTAATTGTGCCTCTTTCACACTCATGAATAATTAACTGCTCTGTGCATATGCACAGACACACTGGTCATGGGCATCTCTGCAAGGTTGGGGTGACCTGCAGATGACCACAGGGAGCTGCTGACATCAGCACACAGTCTCTTGGACTTGCTGCCTGTTTATCTTCTTGGCCACCAGCTGATCAAAGCTGATGTCTCTGTGACCTGCACTGGCAGCAAGGGAAGGGTGAGTGCTCCCCAGCCATGTCAAAGCCTGAGTGTGCAAACAGATTGAGGTGAGCTAGGTGTGAATGTGCAGCAAGTCAGCTCCCTCACTGCCATTGTCACCAGGTAAGTGCAAGGTGCTCACAGGAGAGTGGCAGGCTATTTTTATTCACAAGGGTAACAGCTTTCCTACAGGAAGTCACCTTGAGGCAAACCCTGTTAGCTGGTTTGCATTCCTGTCATTGGCATTGTACCTGAAAGCACAAGCCTCAGCCTCCCAAAATGTGGCTGTGTGTCAGATCCATTGTCCTGCCTGTTGCACATTGAGCCATCCTTTGCTGGCCTCTGTGTGTTAGAAAAAAGACTTCACCCTCCTTTTGCCATGGAACTGGAACATCTTTGGTCATACCTGTAATTTTCAGAGGATTAAGGTTTATGGATCAGAGGTGGAACCTTGTCCTGTCTTTTCCCACAAGAGACCCCTCTGTGGCTGATTAACCTGCTGGATCCAGTCCAAAGGAGGCCACGAAGATGATGAGAGGGCTGAAGCACCTCTGTGATGAAGACAGGCTGAGAGGTTTGGAGTTGTCCAGCCTGGAGAAGAGAAGGCTCTGGAGAGACCTTATACAGTACCTAAAGGATGCCAACAGGAAAGCTGGAGAGGGACTTTTTGGCAGGGCCTGTTGTGATAGGACGAGGGTTAGACTAAAGGAGGTTTGTTCTAGATTGGATGTAAGGGAAGGGAAGTGTTTTAGGATGAGGGTGGTGAAACACTGGAACAGACTGCCTAGAGAGGTGGTGGGTGCCAGACCCCTGGAATTATTCAGGGATAGGTTGGATGAGTCTCTGAGCAATACAATCTAGTTCAACATGCAAGGTCATTGCAAGGACATTGGACTGGGTGACCCCTAAAGGTCCCTTCCAACCCAAACTATGATTCTGTGAGGCTTTAGAACCTCTAAGGCCTCTCTACTTTTTACTATAAAACTGCTCTCAGTTGCTGGAGGATTTTTCCTTATGGATTTTCAGTGAAAAGCTGGGAAATTTGGCAACAGTTTGCTTGCTATTGTGTTTCCCTCTCATTTCTTGCCCCCCTGCATATTGCTGCCATTACCCATCAAAGCGTCAGGCTGAGTCAGATGTAGAAAATGAGATGGAAAACGCAGGGTGATGGATGGGTGGCAGCCAAAATGACTCTTTCTATCCACCCGTCCCCGAAAGCCGTGATATTAGCTCAGAGGCTGTGCCTCATGACTTCATCCCTCCCTGCTGAGGGGAGATGGGAACATCATTATCGGCTGCCGATGAGTCCTGATTTGGAGCCAGCAGTGAAAATGTCCTCGGATGTAGGGCTCCTCCTCCGCCCCAAGGGTGACTTGAACCTGCTGGGAAGACGGAGGAAGAGCTGGAGGGGGGACATGAGAAGAAAGAGGTGCAAATTCAACCCTGTCTCTATGATGATGTCATGGCAACAAGTCAGGTGATCAGGGCAGACTTTGAAGGTCTCCAGCCCTTCTCTGTCGCGGCAGGCTCACGTCTGACTCGCTGAAATACCTTCTGGTTAATATTTAATGCCAGCATTGAAGTGCTAAGGGTGGCAAATGCCTCATCTAAGCCCCCTGCCTTTGCTTTGCAATGGGATGCTAAATCAGGGTGAGGAGGTAGGATTGCAAGCTTCATTATCTGGGAATGGGACTAACAGTCAGCAGGGTGGCTTCAGCCCACAGGGTCCCTGTGCCCGTCTGACTCCAGGACAGGAGAAAGAGGTTTCTATCCCCTCCAGCCCCATTTGGAGCAGGTTTGGGGCACTGGAATGAGGAGGCGTCCCTCTCTTCAGGGCTGGCTCTGGATTAATGAAACCTATGACCGTGCTCCGGGAGCCGAGCCCAGCTCCTTTGATGTGATCAGTTAGTACACGGAGTTGGTGTTTTGGTTGGTTGGTTGCTGTTTTTCTGAGCCATGACCTAATGATCCCATGTTCCAGCTACAGCCCCTCCTAGGGGCCTTGTCTGAAACCTGTGTCCGGACTGAATTCAGCAAACTTCCCGGAGCAGGACGCCGTGTTCCTCCACCCAGGGAAGCCATCTGCTCCCCTCCATCAGCTCCTTCTGCGGGGCTTCGAGCTCGCCAGCCGGGCTGGAAAGCTCTCCTCCTCCTCGCTTGCCCCGGCTCTCCTCGGCCATCTTGCCAGCAGAAGGCTCGGGAACGCGGGGCCGGCTGAATCTGGGGCGGCGATGGTGTCAGCCGGAGGCGGTTTCCAGGCAACTGTCGCGCCGGGACACGCGAGCCAAGAACACCGGGACAGCGCGTTCCCAGCGCGCCGCCTGGGAGGGGACCGAGACACACACGGAAGGAGCCGGCACAGGACGGTGCGAGCGGGCAGCGCAGGCACGGCAGCAGAGGAGGGGGTCTCCAGAATGGCCCCCCTGCCCACTGATCATCAAACCCTCCCTGGCTGGGAGTGAGCATTCCCAAGCTGGCTGCTGGTGCATCTTGCAACAAGGAAGAACTACATGATGTATGGGATTTCACATGCCTTCTGCATCCTTTGGAAGAGCAAAGAGAAAATAAACATTGTGCCAGACTGTACCACGGCCCCCAGACGTATTGCAGGTGGTCCTGTGCTTGTCTGTCCCTTATCAAATACAAAGGTCCATCCCTACAAGTCATGAACTATTTTTGTACACGCATCCCAGCTCTGTGTCCATGGTGTCACTGCAAAAATGAATTTTTTGTAAAAAGAAATGTTCTTCCCTTCCACAAACTGCCAGTCCTCCCCAGCATTTGGTGGGTCCCACTGCCCCTCTGTGCCAATGCCCAAGGCAGTATCCCCACTCCTGCCTGCCTGCCTCCCCTACCTGCTTTAGAGGCCCTGGGAACATCCTTGCCCCTGAAACTCACCTGCCTGGCAGCCCTTCCTTACACTGCCAGCCCAGCATTTCCCCTCGCAGCAATGCTGATACATCACCTTCATTTTATCCAGTTTCAGTGATTTTTGAAAGGGGGCTTGAGTACAACTGATTTTCAGTGGATCAGGGAGGGTGATAAAATTGATGTGGCCAAGCAATGGGAAAAAAATTCTTCTGGATTCTGAGAGTGCAGCTATGGCGAACATGGGGAATGGGGCTACATAGTGCTTGGCAGGGTGTGTGCTGCAGAGGGGCCAAACCATTTTAATGCCCTGTATTCAAAGAAATGTTCTGCAGCCCTGTGCAGGTGACAGGACAGTGGGGAGTCACCTGCAGCCATTGCTGTCCCTGAGCCAGCATTGCAGCTATTGATTTGGAACTTGCCCCGTTCACTCTAACCTTGGCAATGCCAGCTTGACCCTAATCAGCCCTGATAAACCCTGCCACAACCTCCTGTCCCATCCTGGTGGTGTCACACTGTCAGGTGCCGTGGTGACAGATCTTTCCTGCCACTCTGCCCGTGCACCAGTTGGTCTTTTGCTGCGATGCTCTAAATCCAGGAAACCTCTCTCCTATTTTTGCACAGAGGCTGCAGCCACACCAACATTTTTAACCCTGTGTTCGTGCCCATCCCTTGCTGAGTGTTTTGTGTGAGGAAGGATGCGGTGCCGGCTGCAAATGCTCTTCCAGAGGAAATTTAAAATCAGCTTTCTCTTTCTTCTGTTCTTGGCCCTTCTCGTGCACCTGGTGGTGGATTTTGCTCTCCCCACAACCCGCAGGTCCTGTGGCTGCAATACTAAAGCATCAGAAGCTGTGGGTGTCCCGTCAGGCAGCCCCATGCCGGGTGGCATCAAAAAGCTGAGCCTGCGAATCCTTCAGGATTTCAGTGGAAGCAACGGCTCCTTGGAGAAAAGTTCCCAGCCAGAGAGAGCGGGGCTGCACTTAAGGGCTGGAGAGCCAGGGGTCCAGCAGCAGCATGAAGAGGCAAATGCAGGGTGGACCAAGGGATCAAAGCTGGCAGCACTCTTCGAGCACCCTCTTTACAACATCCCAGTCCCAGAGGTGACAGAGAAAGACAAGCTGTTTATCGTCAACCCCATGGAGAAGTTCAGCCTGCGCAGCAGCGGGAGTGATGAATGGTGAGGAGCCAGCTCAACCCTAGCTTGCATTTGGGGGATGTGTGGATTAGAGGGAACAAGCAGCAGGGACCAAACGTAGCTCCCTTCTGTAGATCAGCATCCTTCCCCAGAGGGGCCCCCATTACTGAGCATGCTTTTCTCATATCTCAAATCCTCTCCTAGCCCTGAATTTTTGGGCTGCTACCCATAAGCTTGTAGCATACAGCAAAGCTAAAGGAGACTCTTGAATTATTCATTGTATTATGGATATCTATTAGGTGATCTCCTCAGCTCCTTCCCTTCCCCAAAGCAGACTAGACCTTAGTATCTCTGTATATGACAAGTCCCCACTCCAGATTTCTAACCAGTTTTATCCCCCTCTCTCGGTATGTTGGAGATGCAAAGCTTGCAGTTTAGGCTGCCTCTAACCATGAGACCATTCCTATCCTGCATTTTGCAGGATATTGCCTGGCCTTGTTAGGCTTGGTCGTATGGTGAGCTCACTGCTGACAGCTGTCTATTTTTATCTTTGGACTACTAACCTCTAATTAGAAGGGAAGATATTAGAAGCTTTAGCATTGTAACACATAGCAGCTTCCTTACAGAAAGCACACCTTCCAAAGTGGTGCCTGCTAGAACTGGGAGAAAATAAAAGCTGGCCTAAGAGCTGGTTTCCACAATTGGGCATTTGCCTTATCTCTGAGGACCACTTTGGGTCTGGTTTTATGAAATCAGTGCACAGTCTGTGTTTTCCTAGAGAGAGATGTGGATTTGGGTTACAGGTGCCTTGGGCTAGCTGTCCCATTGCAGTGCCAGTGTGTGCTAGCACAGAGGTGGGGCAGATACGCCCCAGGGGCTCCCTTGAATGCCAGCAAACTGCAAATTTGCAGGATGCACAGAGGCAGGGATAGTGCTAACCCAAACTTACCTCCCTGGGGAAACCCACCCAAGGGGAATGGGTTGTGGAGGATGGGAGTTCAGGTCAGTGCTGGGGATGGCTGGGAAGCCCATGCTTCTCCACCCTTGTTCAGTGTACACACGTGTGTCCCCAGTAGGCACATGGAGGAGTGTAGCAGACTGTACTCCTGGGAGCCAATCCCTTAGGGAAAAACAGTGAGATAATCTGTTCCAGCAGGGAAACAAATGCATGGATGAGAGAAACAAGATCAACCCAGGGTTTTTCCATGAGGGATGGAGGGAAAACACTGTGTCCAACCAGCCATGCTGGTGGGTCTTCCTGGCCACCAGCTTTGGGTGGGATCTGCCAGGTGCCAAGAGCCCCGTGGAGGCCGTATGGGGCAGGCAGTTCTGCCACCATGAAACCTGGAACCAATCCAGGGCTTGCTCTGGCCTTTCTCCCCACCTCACCCTCCATGCACTGGCTCCCAGGAAGGGCCCGGGGACACGGGACCCATCCTGTCCCAACTAAAAGCTGTCATTGTTGTTGGGGCGGTGGTGGCTCTCGGGCTGCAGGGTCAGCAGCAGTAAAGCCGAGACGCTCCTCCCGACAGGGAAGACAGCCTATGACACCTACCCCACCTGGCTCAAATTCCACATCGGCATCAACCGCTATGAGCTGTACCCCCGCCGGGACCCCTTGTTGCCTGCGCTCCTCCGGGACCTGGCCACGCAAAGGATCATCAGCTCAGGTACCACCTCCCTGCCTGTAGCCCTGCTCACCCTGCTGCCTGCTGCCTGCCTCACTCATCCCCATGTGCCTCCTTTCAGTCCAGAAGTCCGGCGGGACCCAGCTCAAGCTCATCATGACGTTCCCAAACTATGGGCAGGCCCTCTTCAAGCCCATGAAGTGAGTAGAGCCCGGGACAACTCTATACCTCACCCACACGGTCCTGTTAGGTAGCGTGGAGTGGCCAGAGGGGACCATGCAGGGAAAAACGGAGCAATGCTTCATGTGCTGCCTCGCTCCAGCACCTCCATCCCCAAACTGAGGCGAGCAGAATGGGCCCGTTTCCCTTGCCTTCTCTGGCGGTGCGTGCAGCTTGTGATGGGGTAGTGACCTCCAGTGGTGGAAAGAAGAAGGTGGTCCATAAGGACCATCCAGGAACCTCCAGTCCATGAGGGCTTCCCCACCCCTTGAGTTGGGAGCCTGGGTAGGGGGCTTGGAGCCACCCACCCATCAGGAAGTGACTGGAGGAGATGGGTCTGGCTGTGTCTCCAGTGTCACAAGGGGACACAAGGTGAGTGGTGGTTTGGAACTAATCCCAAGTTTGGAGTGACCCCACCTGTGATGATTGCCCCCACTGTCCCCTCTCGTTCCAGGCAGACCCGGGAGCAGGAGACCCCCATTGACTTCTTCTACTTCTCAGACTTTGAGCGGCACAATGCAGAGATTGCAGCCTTCCACCTGGACAGGTGAGCATAAGCTTTGCATCCAAGCTTGCCCTTGCCATACTGGCAAAGCACCAGAGAAATTCCTCCTTCGTCCCACCTCTCGCTCCCTGTTGTGAGGATACCTGTGTCTCCTGTCAGTTTTAATAACTCACTGTTATTAAACCAGCTGAGGTCAGTAAGAAATAGTTCCAAGTTCTGTGTTTCAGGATCCTGGATTTCCGGCGAATCCCCCCAGTTTCTGGCCGTTTGGTCAACATAACAAAGGAAATTCGGGATATCACCACAGACAAGAAACTGGCCAAGACTTTCTTCATCTCCCCAGGTGAGCTTTCATGCTCTCCATCCTCTCCTGTGGCCACCTGGATGGAGCTCACCTGGTGCTGGCTGCTGCTCCCTGGCTCCCCCCACACTCAGACAAACTATCCCGCTGGGGACTGTTCCAGCTGCCAAGGGTACCCTGCCAGAGGCCTTTGCTCCTCACAGCCTCCTTTGCCATTGCTTTGCTGGTGGCACATGGCCAGAGTGCATGGAGCATCCTTCCCTGGCTGTTTGCTGGACCGCTCTGCCTGGGGGTGCCTTCCTTCTCTTTGTCAACCTTTGTTTTGTCACCTGGCCAGCGGGTAACGTCTGCTTCTACGGGGAGTGCTCCTACTACTGCTCCACCGAGCACGCCCTCTGCGGCAAACCGGACCGGCTGGAGGGCTCCATGGCTGCCCTGCTCCCTGACAAGACCCTGGCCAAGCGCCGCTCCTGGCGCAGCCCCTGGCGCCGCTCCTACCACAAGAGCAAGAAGGCTGAGTGAGACGGGGCATGGGGGTGTGGGGACATGGGCCAGCAGAGCCATGGGATGGGAGGGGGCTTCTCCACAGCCGCCCTCATGGCCCCATTGCCCTCCCCGGCCTCTGCCACCAGGTGGGAGCTGAACCCCAACTACTGCGCTCAGGTGCGAGAGACGCCGCCCTACGACAGGGGCCATCGGCTCCTCGACCTCATCGACATGGCCATCCTCGACTTCCTCATGGGTGAGCCTCCCCGTGCCCATGCTGAGGGCTGTGCAGGTCCCTCAGACCTGGAGGCCCAAATGGCTCCATGGTACTATGCCCTGTGAGATTTGTTGGCCAGACTGTTGTTCAGGCTGCAGTGAGCCACAGTCTTACTCACAATGAGAGCACAGGGCTGTGCCACTAGGGCATTTCCCAGGCAGAAGTTGAAGGTCAAGAGATTGCAGGGAGATCCCAGCTCAATACCCTGGACATGGGGAACACCTTCCAGCACGCTCTCACATGCAGTCCCTGCAGAGCCAGAGGTGGAGATGATGCTGCCCAGGGCTCTTGCTGCCTCTCCTGTCCCTGGGCCACTTCTTCCTCCCTGCACTGTCCCCTCACCAGCATCTGACTGGGAGAGTTTCCCATCTCCTCATTCCTGACCACCCAGCCATGCCTTTGCCATTACTTCTGCTCCATTTGCCACTGTTGTCCCTCTGTGGGGCTGCTGGGATGAGAAGGGGAGGCCGTGGGGTCTGCTCAGTTCCCCTGCACGGCCATGGCCTCCAGGTGGACAACTTAGAGGTGCCTCCAACACTTTTCCCCAAGCTCTGGGTTTCAGTCTCACACCAGAAGAGTGCTCTGTGTCTTTGCTCCCACTTTCCAGCCCACAGCCTGATGCCAAATTTGTTGGCCCCACAGGCAACATGGACCGGCACCACTATGAGACCTTTGAGAAATTTGGGAATGACACTTTCCTGCTCCACCTGGACAACGGTCGCGGGTAAAGCTGGGCAGTAGGGGGGAGCAATCACAGCAAAGGGGTGGGGGGAGACCTCCAGTCATGCCGAAATGCCACCCTGACACATCCTTAAGGGCTTCTTCCCGCCCCCAGCTTCGGCACACACTCGCGCGATGAACCGTCCATCCTGGCCCCTCTCCAGCAATGCTGCAGGTGAGGGGCTGCCCCCACCCCGCATCTGCTGCTGGGGAGAGGCTCCTCCTACTGAGACCTCTCCCTCCTCATCCAGCATCAAGAAGTCGACTTACCTGCGGCTGCAGCTGCTGGCCACGCAGCCCTACCGCCTGAGTGACGTGCTGCGGGAGGCGCTGGCCGCAGATCCACTGGCCCCTGTGCTGGCTGAGCCCCACCTGCAGGCACTGGACCGGCGCCTGGGGAAGGTGCTGGTGGCGGTGGGACACTGCCTGGCCAGGGCAGCCCACCAGGAAAAGGTGCTGGTGGACGATGTGGGGTCGTGGGTGTGATAGGGGCTGGGTACCCTGCTGGATTGGGCTGTTGTGGTGTGCTGCTGAGGGTGATGTGGGGATCGATGTGCAGCTCTGATTCCGTGTAGCGTCAGCTTTTGGTGGTGCCCGAGCTGGTGGTGTGGTGAACCAGGAAAGCAAGTTGTAAGGATAGGTGGGACAGGGAGGGAATTTAAATAAAAAGGTTGGCCTAGTGGAGAGGACACAAGCTGTGATCTTCCCCACCAAGGCTGCTTTCCCAGCCCTGGCCTGTCCTTGCATGCCCGGACGTGTCACTTCAGCCCTCCAAAGCCTTTTAGGAAAGGGTAGGGATTTTTCCTGCCTTTCCCCAGCAAGAACTGCCAAACTGGAATAGCTGGCCCATCCCTTCTTCCCCACCCCCAGCACAGTGATGCCCTGCTGACCCCCAAAAAGAGAGCTGAGACTCCCCACTGCTGGTGTGGGGAAAATGAGGCAGAGGCTCCCAGCTACATACCACTTATCTTTGTGCCAATCTTCCCACACCCACTCAAAAACTCCCATGGCTCTGACATCACCACCTCCTCCACAGGACCAGGGATGCAGCAAGGACAAACCCCACTCCCCTGAGAACATCTTCCCAAATCCTCCAGGAACTGCCACTGACTCCCTTCACACCCAAAAAAGTAGCTCCTGAGAAGGGGCTGCCTTGACCTGGGCCTGTGTACCCTGCTTAGTGCCTGGTGGCTCAGCACCCAGTTTATCCCCTGAGCCTCCCGGGGGGGTTAATCCACGCAGGGTTACGTCAGCTGGAGCAGGTGCCATTGTGAGAGCCACTGCCAGCGTACCCAGGTTGGGACACGGGATTGCCATCTGCACGGCCAGAGTTAAAGGTGCCACTGGGGAGGGGAGATGTCCTCTGTCCCAGCCAGACACTTGCAAAGGGATGGGAAGCCACGGGAAAGGGTGAAAAAGGGCAGCTGGCACAGTGGGAGATGGAGCTGGAAAAGCTAGGCAGAGATTTTGGCTGAAACAAAAAATGGGCTCAAAAGGCAGGGAAAAAAAAAAAAAAAAAAAAGAAAAGGGAGACAAAGAGGATCTGTCTGCGTTACACAACGGGGCTGGGGATGCTGAATCGGGGTTTGTTGCGGTGTGCCCCCCCAATGCTGACAGCACGTCCTCCTGCCACTGCCCTGGCTTGTGCCCCAAAGCCCAGCACACGGAGGAAAAGGTTTCAGGGCTGTTTTGCAATAGGTTCCTTCCCTTCTGCCAGCCTCGTAGTTTTTTTGACTCTTTATATAAATACCTTTTTGCCTTATATGCAAAGCCAGGGCAGGAACCTACCCACAAAAACAGCCTAAACAATCGCATCCAGACACAGGTGGCCGGTTGCTCTGAGTCTCAGAGCTCCCCCAGGCAAATCTTTTTCCGAGGCGCCGTCAGATTTGAAACGCGAGGTGTGGGGGTGGTGGCTGTTTTTTTTTCAGCCTGGTGAGTTTGCACAAGGTCCGTTCAAGGTCCCACGGGAGCAGCCCGCTTTGGCTCGCTGAGGAGCCTGCCCAGCCGCACGTGGGGCAGAGCGGTGGCCGCGGGTGCCGGGGCCAGCGGCAGAACACGCCCGCCCGCTCCCGGCGCCGTGGGCACACGGGTGTCGATCCACGGATCGGTTCGGCCGTGTCGCCGTGGCGTAGGGTGCGGGGATTTCTCACCCCAGCAGGACCAGCAAACCAGCCACCCAAAAAAAGCCCAAACGCGGGGTTGGGGTGCAGCCCTGCACCTGGGAGCTCCCATTTTGGGCTGGCATCGCCCACGCCCTTGGCTGGCAGCGTGGGCTGGCTGCTGCCCGTGCTGGGCATGGCGGCCCAACCCCAGGGATGAGGTGTTTTGGGGACCGGTCCCGGTGGGCAGTGCGGATGGGCCCTCGTCGTCGGCCCCCCCAAATGATGAAAATAAAAGAAAACGAAATAAAAAGAATATGCTTGTGGCGGTGGTAATAATAAATAGCAATAATTGTGATGATAAAGAAGAGGTCCCCAGAGGCCGGGGGAGCGGGGCCTGCCCCCCTCTGCCGGCGGCGGTGGGGCGGGGCGGCGGCGGGAGGCGGGTGCCGCCTTCCCCCGCAAAACAAAAGGGAGCGGCGGCGGCGAGAGCGGCCGGGCAGGACGGAGGGGATCGTTCCCCGCTGCGCGGCACTTGCCGGTGGGTTTGCGAGGGGGACGTCGGGGGCAAAGCCGGGGGCAAAGCCGGGGGCAAAGCCGGGGGCTTAGCCGGGGGCTTGCGGGCGGGCCGGCTGCCTCCGTACCGGGCCTGGGGGAGAATGTGTGGGGCCGGAGGCGCGGAGGGGCCGGGGGCAGCCGCTCCAGGCGCGGGCGGTCCGCGGAGGGGAAAGGAGAAGGGGTTCATCGGCCTGTACGGGGGGCAGCTCCATCCCGGGGCACCCCACGGCCGCCAGCTCGGGACGGAGCTCGGTGTGGGCCCGGACCCCTGCCACAGGGGCGGGGTCCCCGCCAGGGGGATCCCGCTGGGTGCGTCCCTGCGGGGATCCTGCCACTGACACTTCCCCCTCTCCCCCGCCCTCTCCCCGCCCCCAGGTGAGCCCAGCTCCCGTCCGTGCTGCCGCCATGTCCCGCCGCAGCCAGCGCCTTGTCACCAGCCGCTATTACCCCGGGGACGATGATGCCACGACCAGCAGCAGCAGCACATCTCTGCTGGGCGGAACGCAGCTCCCCTTCAAGGAGACCACCGGCAGGTTAGCGGGGGGGCACCACTGGGGCTTCCCCCTGCCCAAATCTGACACGGGCGGGGCATTCCATCCCACACCAGGGAGCGGGCACCTTCATGCGTGGGGTGTGGGGATAGCTTGCAGAAGGAGCACGACGGTGAGCCCGGCGCGTTCCGGCATGGCCGCCTTGGCACCGGCTGTGCCCCTGCCCCAGCCGAAGCGCCGCGCTCCCAGCGCAGGCAGCCCTGCGGGCCCGGCACAGGAGCCTGCCGTGGGTGGCCCGGTGCCAGCTCCCAGCTGCAGCTGGATGGCGACACGGAGGAGGGAGGGAGGAGGGAGGTGCGCCGCGAGAGCCGGCCGGAAAACCGCAGCGGTGCGAGCGGAAGCGATGCCCGGGACGGGCGGGAGGCCTCTGCAAAGCAGCGGCTGCAGCCTCCGAACGCTGCCGCCATCCGGTGTGCAGGGAAGTGATGCTGGTCGAGGGATTGGGGTGAATTCCCCATTTCCCCCCATGAGTGCACTGTGACCCCCCACCCTGTAACCACACGTATCTGATGAGCCTGTTCTCGCCTCCCGCAGGACGATCCGGAGGAAATCGAGTAGCACAAAGCGCCTCTCTCCCGCCCCCAGCACCCAAACCTCCTACTATAGCGAGTCCATGATGAGCGAGTCCTACCTGGGGGGCAGCCGGGGCCTTGCTGCCCTGGGTAGCTCCATGCTGGATGATGACCTGGACAGCAGCACCTACTGGGGTGAGCTCTCCCACTCTCCTAGGGCAGCTGGGGACCTCCCTGGGTGCTGGAGAGTGTTGGGGCAACTGCCCAGGCTGGCTGACTGGAGTGCCCCTTGCGGAAGTGATGGTGGGTGATTTTTCAGTGGAACTCTGTGTTTTGGGGCAGGTGGAGAGCTCTCCACCAGGAGGAGAAGAGGCACAGGGGACACCGAGTCCAGTAAGATCAATGGGGTGCTAGAGAGCAAGACGTACGACACCTACACATCTTCATCTGGGTACTCCTCGGAGGACGACTACGCTGGTAGGGATGCACTGGTCTGTCTGTAGTGGCAGGAGTACAGGGGAAGCGTCCCCGGGGGGACCAGCCCAGGGCCTGGCTGTACCCAGTGTGCTGCCAGTCCCCGCTAAATGCCACCCCCAGTTCCTTTGCTGTGGGCAATGCACTGAAGTGCTGTCTGCATTGGTGACTCGCTGCTTCCTTTCCAGGTCACTATTACTCAGGCCAGAGTAGCTCCGGGTCAGGTCTGAGAACTGCAGCCTCCCAAGTGGGCTCCTTCCTCTGGCAGGTGTTCACCTCCCCAGGTGAGCTGAGGCCTGGCAGGGGCACTTCTAGCAGCACCTCTGCTCTCCAGGTGGTGTGTGTGCTGTCCCCTGTTTGGGTGGAGGGGTTTTACCCCCTTGTGGTGCCACCCTTGGGCATGGAGGGGACATCTCTGTCAGGACCCCTCCTGAGGCTTGTTTTTTTCTCCTGGCAGTTCAGTTCATGCGTTGGCTGTTCTCAGGGCTGGCAGGGGCCTGGCGCCGCCTCACCGGCACAGCTTCCCACCTGGACAACGTCCCCTTCTCCAGGTGAGTGTGCTGGGGGGGACACCAGGGTGGGGGAAGCGTGGGGAAAACCTGCAGACCCTGGAAAGGGGAGGCTCATTTGGGATGGTGGGTGTCTTTGCTTTCCCTCTGGCCCCATCCAAAGGTGATGGAAGGTGGCTGCAGTCCTTCAGGCCCTCTCTCTTCTCCGTGCTCCAGGCGCTACCCACGTCTGAAGAGGTCCCTGCTGCTGCTGCTGCTCCTGCTGCTCCTCGCTGCTGCCGCCTACGGTGAGCCACCTCCCTTGATGTGCCGCCCTGAGATCTGGGGCAGTGCAGAGCATCCCACTGCCGTAGCTGGGGGCTGGGCTGGCCTGGAGCTCAGAGCTCATGGCTTCTGGTAACCTGCTCCATCAGCATCCCTGTGCCAGTGTCTCCTGGTAATCCCTGGAGATGCTGATGGCTGAGCTTCTGCAAGTCCACCCTGTCCACTACTGTGGCCATTACCAGCCTGTGGTTGTGACCATCTCATCCTTCTGTGCTCAGGAGCTTGGTACTTCTACCCGTATGGGCTGTCGACACTCAGCCTGCCTTCCTTCCCGTGGTGGGGAGGTGGAAAGCTTTCCTCCTCCTCTGACGTTCCTGGGGCCGGGGACCTGACCACGCTGGACCAGGTGAGCTTCAGCAAAGGCATGATGGTGGCCCAGGTGGGATGAGTGCCTTGCAGGGAGAGCTGGGATGGTGTGATCTGTGGCTGAACAATTGCTTCCAGGGTGTGCGGAATGGTGGAGGACGGGGCAGATGATGGCTGCACACTGGTTCCCCCAGCTTGTGGCCATCTCACTCTTGGGGTGTCCCTGGGATGGAGTAGGGGGAACATCTGCCTTCTCCTGGGAAGCGGCAGATGAATAAGATGCCACTGACCCTGGGGAATGGGTGGTCAGGGTCCCTTTTCACAGGGGTCCTGTGGAGCAGACACTTCCCGGGGGGGCTGCATCACACCCTGTTTTTGTCACTGCAGGGGGGACACCGACTCCTGGCTCGCTTCCAGTCCCTGGAGAAGCGCTTTGAGGCACTGGAGGCCGAGCTGTCGCGGTGGGAGCTGCGTCGGGGGGCGGCAGCAGTGACAGCAGGGGGAGAACCACCCCCGGGGGACATCCTTGCGCTGCTGGAGGGGCTGGTGAGCCGCCGGGACGCGGGGCTGAAGGAGCATCTCCGCACCGACATGGCCAACCACCTCCAGGTGAGTGACACGGGCAGTGCAGGGAGGTGGGCGTGGGCAGGGCCAGGCTCTGATATTCCACCCTGTTCCTCATCCTGCAGGGTGAGCTGGATGTGCTCCGAGCCCAGGTGCAGAGGGATTTAGACGGGCGCCTGGGCAAGATGGCAAAAGCTTCCCAGGTAAGTGGCGAGGGTGTGGAGGGACCTGGATAGGACGCCCTCAGCAGTGGTGCCACAGGTCTCACCCCTTCCCCTTTTCCTGGCAGGAGATGGAAGCGCGCTTGCTGGAGCTGAACTCGGAGTGGCAGAGGTAACACTGGCTGTGGGGCAGGGCCATTGCTCTGTTAGGGGCAGGCAGGTAGCTGGGTGAATTCCCTCAGCCAGGCTTAGGAGGGATTTGCAGGCCTGGCTGGGGACAAAGGAGAGATCAAGAGGCATAGTCTGGGGGGGAAAGGAAGGAAGGATACATATGTGGGTGCCTGTGGGAGCTAGCACTGTGCCCTTCTGGCCAAAATGGCCAGTGGTATCCTAGGGTGGCATTAGGAAGGGCATTGTCAGTAGGTTGAGGGACGTGATCTTGTCCCTCTACCCAGCCCTAGTGAGGCCACCTCTGGTGTGCTGTGTCCAATTTTGGGCTCCTCAGCAGTACAAGGGAACCATGGAGCTCCTGGAGTGGGTCCAGCAGAGGGCTGTGGAGGTGATGAAGGGACTGGGGAATCTCTCTTATGAAGGGCTGAAGGAGCTGGACCTGTTCAGCCTTGAAAAGGAACAACTGAGAGGGAACCTCATCAGTGACAGTGGCTGAAGGGAAGTGGCAAGAGGTTGGATCCAGGCTCTTCTCAGTGGCAAATGACCCACTGTGGTCTGTTCCAACCTGACCCGTTCTGTGGCTGGCAGCAGGGCTCCAAGAGCAATGGCAGGAAATCACCTTTGCCACTGTCCTGGATCACTGTGAATGTGGTCCTTCAGCCGAGGGGTGAGCTGAGGATGCTTTCCCATGGGATGCAGTAGAAGAGGTCACTGCCACTGGAATTAAAACTGGGTCTGGAGATGGGGTTGAGCATAGGTGATGTGGGATGAACCTCGTCCTCCAGTTTGCAGAGGGGAACTGGGCCTATTGGCATGAGATTGTTGCTGTGTTTGCGGGTTCCAGGACGAGGGAAGAGATGAATCTGACTCCATATTTCTTAGAAGGCTGATTTATTATATTATATTACAAAGTGCTATACTAAACTATAGAGAGAAAGGAATACATCAGAAGGCTAGGAAAGGAATGAGTGATAAAAACCTGTGACAGACCAGAGTCCTGACACAGCTGGACTGGGATTAGTCATTAAGTAAAAACAGTTCACATGGAAGCAATCAAAGATGCACCTGCCACATTCCAAAGCATCAGATAATTATTGTTTACATTTCTTTTCTGAGGCTTCTCAGCTTCTCAGGAGAAGAAATCCCATCAAAGGGATTTTTCATAACAATATCACAGTGACACAAGGTTTTGTTACCTTTCTCTCGCACAGCTCGGTACAGGAGAGCCTGCGAGGGACCTTCCAGCAGGAGGTGGGCAAGCTGGAGCAGGAGGTGGCAGTGCTGAGGAGGGAGCTGGCAAGCCTCAAGTCAGACCAGGAGGTGATGGGGAAGCACGTGAAGGGGATACTGGAGCAGCTGAAGACAGTGAGGGCTGATGTGAGTCCCTGGTCCCCAGCCTGTTTGGCAGAAAGGCAAGTAAGGGTCCCTGCTCCGGGGCTGAGCTCTGTCTGCACCATTCCAGGTGGAAGCACAGTTCCCAGTGTGGATCAACAGGTTCCTGTCACAGTCCCAGCAGGATGGTGCTGCTGCCTTCATCCTCCAGCGGGAAGACTTGCAAGCAGAGCTCCAGGCTCTGGAGCACAAGATCCTTGCAAAAGTCCTGGAGGACCGGAGACTGTCAGCACGGGATGCTCAGGCTGGTATTGGAGTGGCCCTGAGACAAGGAGGGGCTGCAGGAGTGACAGAGGAGGTGAGTACTGGCCTGAGCCCCAGGGACATGAGGTGACCACAGGGTTGGGGACTGTGCCCCGCTTTGTGTGTGCAGGGGGCTGGCATGTGTGCCTGGCAGATGGCAGAGGCATTGGGACACCCCCACAGCTGGGATAGATCCTGGGCACAGAGGATGCAACTTGAAACTCCTTCTCTGTCACTCCCTTCTCAGTTTGTGCTTGCTCTGTGCTCTGGAAGGGGTCACAGGCGCTACTACCTGCAGCCCTGCAAGGCTCTTACTTGTCCCTGTTGTATTGAGGACGGGTGAATAAAGCGACACGACTCCTGTGTCTTCTCAGAAGGCAAAAGCCAAGTTTTTAGAAACCACAAGTTCCTTTTATAGACAGTTATGATAAAGGTGGACCTGGCTGGTTCTTAATCAATATCCCTCACACCCTTGGGTAATTAGGAACAACACCCTTCTTGTAAACCTCTTACAATTAACAACAAGTTCAAAACATCAGCTGCAGGATTGTTTTAATTCTTTCTCTGAAGTTTTCTCAAAACTTCCCAGAGGAATGTCTGGCAAAGTTTATCTGATTTCTTCTCTGACCGGTTCTCAGCATTCACACTTACTGTCTTAAAATCCAAGCTTCTGCTCGTGCATCCTTCACCCAGAACGTGGGAGAGGTGCCATCAAGGCTTCCGTGGGTGGAGCATCTTGCTTATCCCCATTCTTCCGCAGTGCTGCGGAGTTGTTTGGTGCAAAGCATTTCAGCAGAATGACACCAAGGGGAAAAAATGAGCCTGCTTGCTTTGGAAAGAGTTGCTGGCAATTCTCTGTGGAGGGAGGGATCAAGCTGGGATTAGCAGTCCCTATAGTCTGTGTGAGCTTTATGCACTCCATAAAGTTTAGACCCAAAGTGGTGCTGCAGGGTCCTAGCTCCTGAGGCTGGCTTTGGCTCCAGATGGATGCTCCAGCCATCTCCTCCTTTTCTGGAGAAGGAGAGCTCCCATCAGTCCTGTGGGACAGGGCAGGAGGGACGAGCAGATGATTCTGGGTGGTCTGTCAGGTTGTGTCTGGTGCCACCTCTCCTCCCTCTGGGCCAGCCCCTCCTGGGGACAGGCAAGTGCAGCATGCCTGGGTGCTGCCCCTTCAGTGCACAGCTCCTCTCCCCTGGGGTATTTTTAGCAACCTCTAATGAGGTTTCCCAGCCAAATGCGTGTCCTCTTATTTTTGCCACGGTGATTCATCCCCTGGCTGTTCTATCCCGTGGCTGTTTTGTGGGAAGGTCCTTGCACCCTCTGTCCCTGCAGGGGCAGGCGGGTGGGGGGCAGGATGCCTGGCCCAGTTTGTCACCCTCCTGTGCCCTCTGCTCCCGCTGCAGCAAGTGCATCTCATCGTGGGCCAGGCCCTGAAGCGCTACAGCGAGGACCGTGTGGGGATGGTTGACTATGCCCTGGAGTCAGCAGGTAGGTGGTCAGGACAAGCCAGCTGTCCTGGGGAGGTGACCACAGGGGCTGGGTGCAGCTCACCTGCTGCCATCCCCTCCTGCCAGGGGCCAGCGTCATCAACACTCGCTGCTCAGAGACCTACGAGACGCGGACGGCGCTGCTGAGCTTGTTCGGCATCCCCCTGTGGTACCACTCGCAGTCCCCCCGTGCCATCCTGCAGGTGGGCGCCGGGTGGGAGGGCTGGGCTGGTCCTCATGGGGCTTTCATTGGGCTTTGCCTGTTGCTCCAAGCCAGCAGCCAGGCTGGTGGGAGGAAAAATGACTCTGATGGTGGTAACATTGCTGTCGTTTCACTTCCATGCTCGTAGCCAGATGTCAACCCTGGGAACTGCTGGGCATTTCGTGGCTCCCAGGGCTTTGCTGTCATCCGCCTCTCTGGCATTATCCGCCCCACGGCCGTGACGCTGGAGCACATCCCGAAAGCCCTCTCACCGCAGGGGACCATCCCCAGTGCCCCCAAGGACTTTGCTGTCTATGTGAGTGCCCTCACCCAGACCTGAGGGGAGGGGGGAGCACGGAGGTGGGGCGTTGGAAGGGATGGCTTACAAACCCCGTACCTGGCTGTGGGGTGCTCTGCGGGGGTGATCTTACCCTGAAGAAGGGGAAGAAGCAATACTGGTGGGGAGAGGGGCAGCGCTGGGTGTCAGAAAGAGTTTGTGGGAGACACAGGGACAAAGAGGCTTGAGTAGGTGTAACTTTTGGTCTTCTCCCCCTTCATCCTTCCTCACTGGTCCCTGTTCCCATTTGTCTATTTTGACCTGGAAGAGCAGGAGCGGGGGCCAAGCACGCTTGCGTCTCCCTCTCCCTCTTCTGCCCTGGATGTGTGCATCACCTCTGGTCTCCCTCTCTGGTGACCCCTGATTCTCCCTTTCTGCCTCCCTACCCGTCCATAGGGCTTAAAGGAAGAAGGAGAGGAGGAGGGCCTTCTCCTTGGACAGTTCACCTATAGCCATGATGGCGACCCCATCCAAACATTTTACTTGGAGGTAAATGCTTTGCCCCTGGAGCACCTGACCCCTGAGAAGAAAATGGGGCCTCTGGGGTTTCTGAGCCGTAGAGAGCCCTCAAGGTCTCGGGTTTTTCTTTTCCTTCTTCCCCCAAGGGTGACTCCATGGGCACATACCAGCTGGTGGAGCTCCGGGTGCTGAGCAACTGGGGCCACCCCGAATACACCTGCATCTACCGCTTCCGTGTGCACGGGGAGCCGGCGCACTGACCCCCGGCCCCGCGAGGATGCTGCCGGGCTGCCGGCGGGAGGGGACGCGTCTGGTTCACTGCTTCGCACCTACAAATCCTGGCACGTGCCAGCAGCCGCCCCTGGAAGCTGCTCCCCTGGGGGGAGGAGAAGAGCTGGTGTTGAAGGGGTGAGGCTTTCACTCTTCCAAGGACCAGGGTGGTGAGGCGAGAGCATCCCACGTGGGTCCTAGCGCAGCCTGGCTTGTTTTCAGTGCGTATGGGACATTTTAACTTTTTAAGCTAACTTTGTATCGGGTTTGCGCTGCCCCTCTTCCCTGTTGTCCCACTCCTTTCTAGCATGGCCAGGGCTTGGGGAAGGGGTGTGTCATTTTGTGATGTGCTTCATGCGGGCTTGGGTGCAGGAGATGGGCGTGTGGGACCACGGTGCCTGACTCGGTGCTGCCAGAGTAGCTGGGAGCCACTGGTCGTGGCCACCAAGTCCCCTCCACACAGGGTCACTTCTCTTGCCTTGGTGTTGGTTTGGGTAAAGATCTCCAGCCGTCCAATGGGGCCGGCAGAGAGGAAATAAGACAGTATTAATGAAGTATTAACATAAAACTAACGGTTTGAGGCAGCAGGAGGAGTGTGGCACATGTTGGTGGCAGAGCCCACCTTGGTACTGCCATGCATCCACTCAAGCCCTCCTGCTGACAGGAGCTGAGTTGGGTCACACCAATGCTGTTGGCCTGCCTGGCTGCCTGCCTCCCCAGTGTTAAGCTTGATGATGCTATTGAAAATTCCTGTTGCCTGCTTTTCCTTTGGGGTTTGTTCTGATATTTTTTTTTAAAGAGGGGTGGGAAGGGGAGCTATTTTCCAGTTGGGGTGTTGGGGTTGGTTTTTTTGTGTGTGGGGGGGTTTGTAGTAACAAAGGGAAAAAAATACTTTTTCCATGCAATTTGTACTTAACCAGAGAATGTTACACGGTGCCACTTGGATGAGTGGCTTAGAGAGGGCTAGAGCTTTGTTTAGTAGAATAGCATACACAGTAGGATAAGCTAGAATAAGATGAGCAGAGCTGTTTAAAATACAGGCCTCACGTTGTTGGTGGCTTGGTAGCTAGACTTGGAAGCTAGACTTGGTAGCTGGGGTCCTCTGTGCACTGCTGCTGGTGGGGTGCTGGAGGCATTCCTGCCCTCCTTGCTCTGGATGTGCTCTGAGACTGCAATGCGTGGCTGTGGCCTCTGGCCCAAGCTGCATCTGTGTATACTTGACTGTTAGCAGCAAGTGGAGCTGCTGTCCCCGCTCTGCAGGGCGCCTGGGGCTGGCAGGTGCCAGCATGCAGAGCCACCCCGCCTGCAGGGCTCCCTCAGCTCTCGGGTCCTCGATGGCAGATGGCTGGTGCAGGCTGACCTCCTTTCTCTTGGAAGGGCTCCCTTTTCCTCCTACCTCTCCTTACTGGCATTGCACTGTTCTCTGAGCCCTGGCTGTGGGAGGACGGGGCTGGAGCAGGAGGGGGAGTTCTGCCTGCAGTGGGCATGTACATCTTGCCTGTACTGCTGGGATGGGTGGAGGCACAGCAGGGGTTTGCAGGAAGGATGCACAGGGACCTTCCCCCGGCTGAGGGGTGTTAGGGCCATGTGGCCCTTCCACCTCCTGGCTGCTTGCATCACACCTGCATCCAGGATGTATTGGATGGTGTTACCAGCCTCCAGGTTTGTGGTGTGTTTCATTGAAAGAAAAGCTTAAGGGCTCATGGGTCAGTGTTTCAGCCCTGTCCAAAGCTGTCCTCCTGCAGCCCTGTCCATCCTTTCCCTGACACCATGAGAGCACCATGTATTGATTCCCACTCTGCTGGTCTCTGCTTGAAGCACTGTAGGCACAGAGGAGGACGAGGGGCTGAAGAAGTGTCTCCTTTCAGCATCCCCTGCTGGGCATCAGGCAGAGCTGAGCTCAGAGGGCACAGTCCTGTCTCCAGCAGGTTAAAACTACCCTGTGGAGCCTCTTGCAGAGCTGGGAGGCCCTGCTGCAGGGAGAAAGCTGACCTGGAGCCAGAGCCAGGGACTATAAATTCTCTCCTATATTGAGCGTAGTCTTAATTCTTGGCATCCACAGCCAAAGTTATTTTAAACTTGTCTACAGCTGCCCATTTGCCTTGGAGTCCTGTCCATGAGTGCACTGAGCACATGGAGCTGTGCTTTTATGAATGCCTAGACCTGTTCTGGGCTTGGCAGACCAGCTCCTGTATTTATTTGAATCATAGAGAGAAAGCAGAGATGAAGCTCTCCCTTTTTCTCACCTTTCTCTGGTTCCTGGAGCAAGAGCTATAACCATGAGCCTGGGGAAAACCCCTTTTCTTACGTTCCTTCTGGCTCCCTGGTCTCGGGCTTGGACTGTAAGAACAGACAAGGTCTTTGCCCAAGAAAGAAATGGTTTTGTGGTAAATCAGGCATGCTGGTGAGAGGCAGGAAAGGTGACCTCTTCCCCTGAAAATGGAGTTGTAGTGGGATCTCTGCTCCTTCCTCATGGGTGTTAACTGCTGTGTCTGGGTTAGGGAGCATTTGGCTTTACAGTGGAAGCTTGCCCTGTCCTTTGGACATGAAAATCTTTGCTGCTTGAAGTAACACTCCCTGGAGCCACCAGTGAGAGCTCATCCTGGGGCTTCATGCTCTTTTCTAGCTGGCTTTAGAGGCCTCACCATGTGTGAGGATCCCCAGGAACATATGCCGAGGCTACATGTGGGTTTTCAGCCCCCAAATTCAGCATCAGTGCTGGGCTGCAGCCCGAGCCCCTGTGCCAAGTGCCAGAAGCCGCTGGCTCTCGAGATTGTAGCCTGCAGCAATTCTGCAGCGCTTCCCAGAGCTGCCAAAGAAGAGGGCACAGAAAAGTGCTGCTTCAGCATGTGCTTCTCTGCCCAGGGGTATTTAATCCTAGAGATGAGCCTGGTGAGGCAGGAGAAATGCAGAACAGCTGTGGGAGCAGATTTCTCTTATTTACTCCATTTCCCTCCTCTATTCTCCCTCCTTCTCAGTTTGCCCTACACACGTGTTACGAATTAGCCCTGCAGAAACAGATGGTTACAGACAGGAGTTTGTGTTTGATGCTGTAGCCTGTTGCAAATGCTGCACTGTTTTGTTCCTTTTGTTTTTTAATCAACAGATTGTAATTTATGCCTATGCAAGAGAAAAAAAAAAAGACCAAGACATAAATTATATCAAAACTGCCCAGAGTGGTTTGGATGTTTTGTAACTGAATTTGCTGTTGGGAATGATGCACAACTAGTAGATAGACAAAGCTATTCTTGGAGCTCTTCTTCTATGTAGTTTTATGGCAAATCCTTATTTTCCAGCCTGATGTACTAACTCTAGGGCCAGTTAACAAAGTTATCACCTTGTCATTGAGCAGGCTTGAGGATGCAAAAACTGCTTGAAACAATGCTGAGAACAAGACTTACTCCTAAAACCTCCAGTTCCTTGGGACTAAAAACTTCTACTAGATTTAAGTCTGATATCATGGCTGTCCTCCTGCAGTCACCTCCCACGCCTTCCCATCCTCTTCCTTACCATGAGCAGAGCCCAGTTTGGCCCCCAGAGCAGCAAGGGAGGCTGGGTTAGCGGGGGCAAAGCCTGACACAAAGCCCAGTGCAGGGGATCTGCTTGCTCCTCTTTTCCTTCACATAGGCTGTTAACTACTCATCAGCTACAAAGCTAGCAGAAAGGAGATACTTAATTTTCCTTAGCGTGAGGAAGGTAATACATAAAAAAAAGGCTGAAAATGGGAAACTGAACTGGCTTGAGGAGAGTCACTACTTTGTCTGCTTAACCTGGGCTTGGAGGAAGGCTTCTGTTGAGGAATAGCCATGCAGCTCCTCCCAGAAGACCACGCTAGGGCCAGGCTTGCTCTCCGCTGGCTCTGGATCATCCCTCTCCAGGAGGAGAAGGGCTGTGTGGGCCTCAACTCCAGCTACCACAGCCCAACACTCATCTATGAAAGGGCTGTGCAGAGCAGAAAAAGCCTTTGTGAACCTCTGAGATCAACTGAGGAGACAGAAAAAGGCTCCTTGCAAACCCTGGGGAGTCCCACTGTATTTGCAGAAACAGGTGAGGTGCATGTCCCAGGAAGCACAGTAGGCAGGCACTGCAAGTGATGTGCTAATGCTGCATCCTGTAGCAGAGTTTCTCTCGTGGGGCCGGCCCCAAGTGCTTTGCTAGGGCTGCTCTACACCCACTCACATCGCACACAGCTCGCACCACGCCCGTGTTCTCATTTTACCACTCTGCCACCGAGGTGCACTTCATTTTGGCCAGAGTAAAAGCTGTCAGGGCTGTGCAGAGGCTCAGCAGCAGCTCTCCTGTGCTGCCATGCCCTGCCCTGCTGTCACTATGAGCACAGCCTCCTCTTGTAGCCAGCAAAGGAGCCAGGCAAACCTGCTTCCTCTGGCTTTCAGCCTGGTTTTCCAGAAGGACAAAAATCAAGAAGACACACTTTTACTTGGAACAAACTTTTTTAAAATTTATTTTATAGATCACACCAGCCTGAGTGATCTGTAAATGCTGGTCACAAAAGAGAGATCACACCACCTCCTTTGCACAAATTGAAGTGAACCTTCTTTCAGTCTCGGCAGTCTCCTTCATTTGGAGCACAAGGAATGGAGAAAGAGAAAACCGCCTGGAGCTCCCTGCTCCCCTCAGAAGCAGAGGGCAGTGAAATCAGATGCAGTTTGATGCTGCTACAGGGCCAGAAGACAAACAAGCCAAGCCCTCGTGCCCTGCTCAGCCACACCTCACACCCCCTCACAATGCGGGTGCTATTAGTGTTGTAGCCGCCTATAGTTCCTCCCTGGCCAGGAGAGTGCTGGTATTTAGGCACAAAGCTTGGAAAAGGACTGTCTGACCTCCCCCTTCCACCCACTGCAGTCTCTAAGGCAAAGGACCCTGGTCTCCAAACCACGTTTCTTGCCTCTCCCGTGCCGCTTAATGCTCTTGGAGTGCTGGTGTTGGCAGCGGGAGATGCGCTTTGCCTCTCAGCCGGCCTGGAGACCTACCCCGAGTCACAAGGTGAGCTGGAACGAAAAACACACAGGTGACACAGAGTGAGGAACAGGAACAACCCGCTAAGGAGGGACAGAAACTTTGCAGTCTCTCTCTGATTAAAATAAAAGTCCTTCATTGGAGGAAGAAGCCCTCAGAGAAACCGAGCCTGACCGTGCCTGCTGGGGGGAGCCATGATTTGCTGAGGATGCCACCTCCTCCTCAAAATGTCACCATGCTCCCAGAGCTCACCACAAGCTGGCAGAGGATAATTCCTGTCCTCACCGGAGCCAAGGGAAGAGGCAGGGTTAGAAGAAAAGAGATCAAAATAAGCAGGGAATCAATCACTTTAAAAACTCATTAAATGGTTAAAAAAACCATTCTAACAGTAATTTGTAAACTGTCCTTGCAGGGCCTTCTTGGAGAAGCCACAATTTCTCATTAAGAAAAATAAGATCTTAAAAAAAAAAATCAGTTTAAGTCAGAAAAATTACCATGTACTTCCAACCTTGAAAGCACACCTGTAAATTTGGTACCAATTTGTCACTGCCCTCTTTGGCCAAGAGGGGAGAAGACAAATCCTGCTTCTGCCATGGCAAAGTTTGGCCAGTGAGTTCCAAAAAGGTTTTGGAAATCTTGGAGTAAACAAAATCAAGGGGAGGTCATGTTAGCTTGGTGTCTCTGTTCCAAAGGTATCTTACCACCTGTGACCTCTGTCCGTCGAGGTGAGAAGGCTTTCTCTGGCTCAAGGGACGGACTGAGTGCTCCTGCACTGTTCTTAATACTGTCAGTGGAGCTGCTGCAGCCTCAGGAGGCACCTTAGATTTGCTCCAATGTGCACTGAACAAACACTGGGAAAAGCAGCACGATGGGAAGGGGAACTGGGTGGGTAAATGTCTGCCCATTTAACTCTGTCGCCAGTTAAAATTTTAAGTGCTTTCAACATTATTTGAGGATATTGAGCATAGGATCCCTGAACTTAACATCTACAACTGCTTTCCAATTTGTTTCCCTCTTAGATCTCCAACTAAGGAACTTTCTCACCATCTCCTTCAAACTTCAGTCATTACAACATTAAATTAAATCCACTTAGAAATAGTTTAAGAGGGAGGGAATCCAAAACATATTTGGCACAAGGCCACAGTGGTGATGAAACGATGCTCCATGGAGCCATCCTAAACAACCTGTTTTAACCTTTGCAAGTCTGAAATTTCAGGCATCTGATAACCCCTGGATCTGAGACAGCAAATAGGGGAGAGCAGCAAGTTCTGTGGACAGAAAGGGGTGAGGGAGGAGGGAGGCAACTAACTGGCTCTTTGCAGCTCTATCCAGACTCCTCTCATCTTCATGCACACAAAATATAATAAAAACTAATAAGAATAAAAACTAAGCCCATGATGTACAAAAATGTGTCAACAGGGGGAGGAGGAAGGTGTCAGTTACTCAGTTCTCTGTCTTATCACCTTCATTAGCTTATAAATTATGCTCCTCTCCATCGCTTTCTGCAGGGAGGAGGGACGATTCTTCTGCAGCCAATCAGCTGGGATGGGTTTTGGTTTACGCTGCTCTGGATCTTTTGGATAAGAAATGAAGGGATGGGGAGGAATTCTTCAGAGAGAGGAGGAATACGAAATTCAGCAGCCACTGGCAGGAGTCACACAGGCTCCCTGAGATTTCACTTTATGGCGCTGACCCCCACGTCGACGGCCTCCTCCTCCGACTTTTGACTGAAAAACAAGACTGACTTTAGTACAAAGCAGCCCCTCAGCTGGGATATCAACACAGCAGGAATTCAGATGGATCACACACACATTCAGACAGCAGCAGGGCAGTTGTGACTGATCAGCTTTCTACCACTGCAGGAAGGAGATAAGGCAGGAGGGAGACAGACACACCATGAGGGAAGGAGGAGAGACAGATGCACCAGGAAGTTTTGCCCTTCAAGCTGGAAAGACTTTGATTTCCCAAGTTTCTAAATGCTTCACTCCCATGAGAGCCAGCAAGTGCCATGGGGCTCAGCATACAGGAAATCCAGGCCTCAGGTTCCCTTGACTTTGTATTTTTGGATTGAAGGAGAACCTCCCACCTCCCACCATGGCTCTCAGGCTCACCTGACTTTTCCCAATCTCAGCAAACCCACTGTTTCTCTTTGAGAGCAGCCAAATACCTTATTGCCCTCACGGATGTGGGGCTCTTCATCCAGTGCAGGCTGAGGGGACGCAGCAAGGAGAGAGAGGAAGACGTAAGCAAGAACAAAAGCAACCCCAGAGCCTCAGGGGGAGGGATGAAACAAAGAGCAAGCTGGGACCACTATTTACAACCACACTGACGCTACAAAAAGACAAGGACGAGATGGAGGACTGGTGTGAAGCCCCAGGCACATGCAGAGGCAGAGAACCCCTGCTAGGGGGCCTCCTCTGATGAGCAGTCTGGCTCAAAAGGTGAGATTTGACCATGGCAACTAATATAGCTAGAATTAAGAAGGGGAACACTTTGTCACTTGACAGAGTCAGTTCCTGAACCCTTCACTTCCTGAGAGGTACCCTACAAAGAGAAGACCTTTCTTCTATCAGTAATAAAACTGATCAGTTGGTCTCTAGTGAGAATTGAGTTTCCATTCCTTTCAGGCCAGAAAGACTAGGCATCCTCCATGGACAAGCTGAACTGAGAAGTCCTAACCAACAAAACAACCTGGATAAATTTCTCTAAAGAGAAATTTAAAGCTTTCCTTCTCCTTGGATGTCTCCATCTTTATTTTTCAACAGGGTAGATGACCTGAGCCTAATACTCAGGTTGTAATTTCTCTAGTGTAGGGATATTCTACCTTTGATTCAGACATTGAAGACTTGTTCTGTGACTGGTTGTTATATGTTTCACTAGTTCATCTACTGGGTGTATAGAGACACTTCTTCACTGTGCACATGGTCAAAGCAGTGAATCAGGTTGCCAAGGGAGGTTTGCAGTCTTCCTCCTTGAGAGGTTTTTAAGACATGACTGGATAAAACCCTGAGCAACCTGGTCTGACCTCACAGCTAATCCTATTTAGAGCAGGAGGTTAGACTAGACACTTCCTGAGGTTCAACCTGAATTGTCCCAGTACCCTGAGCTGCTGTCTGCTTGAAGGTCAGCCATGGAGTCATCCAGTCATCAGAGAATTATGATTCCTGATGCAAGACTACTTCCATTTCTATTTGTTTCTGTGGCAAGGTGTGTTCAAGGTATGAGGGGAAAATACTTGTGCTTTAGAGTGCCCTTCCTCCAACAGGTGAAACCATGACACAAACAGCTAGGACAGACATGGTATTTTCCTCACTTACCAATGGTTGCAGGGCAGTAGGTGTCAGTGGTGCTGCAGCTGTTGAGGGGGCCTCATCCCCAGCTGCCGGGCCTCCAGCTGCCGCCCCAGCGGCAGGAACACCATCCTCTCGTTTCGTAACAGCTCCCTTCTTCGTTGACTGCATCTTGATCTGCTGTGGCTTGGAGTTCATTGGTGAGTTATTGGTGGTCTGGAGTAGCTGCAAATTGCAAAGGGAGAGGCCAAACTCAGCATTAAAATAGCCAGGATGATCTGGCGAGGTTTAATGCTGCTTTTTAACAAAAAGCCTCAGGAGAATTTGTAAAAATAACCATAAGGAGAAGAATGCAGCAGCAGCAGCTGTTCAAAGAAACCTAGACCTCTGATGTTCCAGCCTTGGAAAGGGCCACTTGGCTGAGGTGACACTCTAAACTCCACAACATGACTCAAACGGAGCAGCTACAAGATGTCAGAAAGAGACTGAGCCTTAAGAACCAGCAGCATATGGCTCAGCCCCTCCCTTTACATTCCCTCATTCACACCAGCTAAAGAACCACCACACGACAAAGCACATCAGTCATCCTCGACCCATGTCAGGCCTGATACATATGGTTGAAGCACAGCCTCTTCCCTCCATCTTCCAAAGCTATCTTGATTCTCCTGCTGGCTTCTCAGTGCAAGAAGTAGCTAATGGGCAAAAGCAAGTGGGACTCGGCAGCCTTTACCTTGGTGATGGTACCCACAGCTTTGGTGCGGCCTTCCCGGAAGACCAGCCGCTGGTCTATGTGTAAATATTCCGGGGTTTTGATGAAGCGGAAGTGCACCGTGGCTTTGTCCCCTGTCCGCAGGCAGTCCTTGTCCATGCTGAGAATCGTGGCTGTCTGACGGATGCTGCCACAATGCACTGTGAATGTAAAGCACAGAGGCTTTCAGCAGCCATTAGTGGAACGAGCTTCAGCGACACATCTGAGGCAGCTCCTCACCCTACAGCAAGGGCCGTACGGGTCACGCAGCTGCCTTTGTTCCATCCCAAAAAAAACATGCACATAAGCTAGAACAGATGCCTTCAAATCCTGCCTGTCCTGAAGCACCCTCAACAGAATCCTACACACCAAGCAGCTGGGTTAGAGGGCAGGACCCAAAATGAGTCTTTCCATCAGCATTTGAAAGTGGAGAATCTTTGCACTACAGAGACATAGCACAGGCAGGTTCCAAGTACACATCTCCTTTATGCCTTATAGCCCCCCCATAAGCTATAATTTATAAGCATAACTCTCCCATAAGCATAACTCTCCTCCATAAGCTCCCTTCCCTCTCCCTCCCTTCCACTCTCTTCCACCATGTTGGGAAAGGCAAAACCAAGAACTATGGCATATATTCAGGTTGGCAGAGACATCAGGAGCAAAATTATCTTAGGCTAGATCTGCTACAAAATGCCACCACTGGGAAACAAAGACAATCCCGCACTGACACACATACCCATGGCCTGGTATCGTGGGCTGATGGTGGTGGGGTGATGGAGCACCAGAATCTCTGCTTCGAACTCCCACGACGCTTGTGGATTCAGGCGGGGTGACACCATTACCATGCCTTTCCGGATGGAAGAACGCTTGATCTGAAAAGCAGAGACACAAAAAACCTTAGCGTGATTCTCCAGGGAAGAAATCTGCTGCTCTGGCTGACTGCACCCAGCAGAATGCTAAGGAATTTAACAGATACTACCTCATGCCCAGCAAAAGGCAAAGCAAGAGCTGCATAGCTCTATGTTATCTATAGGATATTATGCAAAGGTTGTAAAAATCAAATTCAGCTGAAGTTTATAAGGAAGCTTTAGAGTACTGGAAATGCTGGACACTTGACACATTTACCTCACTGATCCTTCAAAAGCAAAACATACATCCTGGTTGCACATTATCCAAGAAAATGACCTCTCCTAAATCATGATGTCTGTTAATATAACTTAATAAGCCTGAACACATGAAGTATGGTGTAGCTTAAACTATATCCCCTTAAAATCAGTGCAGCTTCTATTGACAGCAATCTTTTGCAAGCGAAGTCATATCAAATTTTGCTGATTTTTAAATCCCAAATCATGCAGCTGGTCCTACATGCCAAGAGGAGTAGTGTAAATACACTGTCCAGGCTACTAATGCAGTTCCAGCAGAAAAGGAGACTTTTCTTGCAATGCCTCCACTTTATTATATATCTCCAACATCATTATCTAGTGGCATTGCTATCCCCTGGCAGCTCCTAGGAGGAAAAACCAGGATGTGAATCAGAGAGGTTCCACGGGATTCCATTCCACTGCAACGTGAGGCAGCTGATGCTTGTAGAAACAACCTGACTGCAGCTGAACTCCGAGAACACTTGAAAGAGGGCAGTTTCTGTCCTGGAGGAACAGGAAGAGATCATCTCACCTTCTTCAAGGCAAAGGAGGCAGTCTGGCCTCCCCGCACCTCCTTGACGGGCATCCTCTTGCGGTGGATGGACTTGACAGCAATAGGGAGGAAGTTGCCAAGGGGATCTGGCCCCAGCAGCAGGGTGTCATTTAGCTTGATCAGGCCTCTCAGTGTCGTCCCGGAGACAACTGTTCCTACACCCTACGCCAAAAATGAAAAAACAGTAATTGTGGTTACCCTACCAGGCCAGCAGAAGAGCTCTAGGATTCTCCTCTCTCGAGAAGATACCTTCTTCAGCCTCAAAGAGGGAACACAATATTCTTCCAAATACCAGACCCCTTACCGGGACAGAGTAAGTATCATCTATCTGGAATTCTGCTGGTTCTTCTTCCCTGTAACTGGTCCGTGGAGACAAGAGATTAAGAAACATCTTCAGCAAATCTAGATTCTCCCCAGTAACATTTGAAATCTGGAAAATTGGGCACATCCTGTAAAGGGAAATTGATGAAAATGGAGTTAGTTCACCTTCCTACCTGGCCTTCCACATGTAGGGAGACATCCAAAATCTTGGGAATAATTCAATATACTGTGCTAGGAAGGGAGAGCCTGGCAAGCAGTCAGATGCACAACACCCCATGTTTGAAAACCTGCAACATTGCCTCTGCCTTCCAATGACATTTGGGAAAAGGTGTAAGGTTCTGAAGAAAGGACTGAAGAAAGCTGAATGCCCTGCTGTATTCTGCAGACTGCCCAGAAGCAGCCTCTCATTTCTGCCTCAGAGAGGGGAACACAAGCAGGTCAACCTCAAAATCAACACACTCTTATGGAACACACTCCACATGGCAGATGCAACCTTCACACATCTAGACAATGGGACTCTCTGAATCTCCTCACCCAGTCTCCACATAGGATTGAAAGAGAAATGATTCTCCTCTAGTCCCGTTACCTCTCTGAGCTGAAGTTGGAGGCTGTTACAATGACATCATCCTTGCTCTGAACCAGCACGGGAATCTTCCTGCACCCTGGGGACTTCAGCAGTCGCTGTAACAGCTTCAGGGTTTCTTAAAGGGTGAAATGAATATTGTTAGGGCAGCATCTCCCCTCTTCACAAATCACTTTTGTGGGGTCTCTCCCCACAGGGAGATGGGTGCTCTGGCCACAGATAAGACAGGAGAAGATGGCTAAAGGTGAGACTGTGAGTTTGCTGCAGCCCAGGTAGGACTTAGGAGCCATTCCATCTTCCATTTCATGCCAGCTAGCCTGCTGCCAAGCCACGCCATACATGGACAGACAAGTTTGCAATGCTGTGAAGTAGACATTTTGTAGCTGTCTATTAGTAGCTTTAAGCAGTTACAAGGTATTTCCTCTTTCTAGAAAGTATTTTTCCTAGTGAATTAATTGAAAATCAGGACTCGGTGACAGAAATATTTGAGAATATGCTAATTGCAAAGCAATTTTGACCAAACAAACCTCAATATATTTTCCCTGGCAGTCAACTTGCCATAGGAAGCTGGAGAAGCATGAAAGAGGTAACGATTATCATCACAGACTAGGACAATGTGGGTGGACCATATTCAGAAATCAATATTTTGGGACAAATCTCATGACTCCCAATTTTCAGCTTTTGCTTCTTTTCAACTTATTTTTTAAGCCTCATATCCAGCAGCCAGTAGGGACATTACCTGATGCACCAGTATCAACCTCCTACAAAGTGCCTGACAATAATAAATAAAGAAAAAACAGAAAAGGATACTAAGGGCTTAAAAGAGCAAATAATTTATGTTCTACAATTGTCATCCAATTAGACAGGTTTTTGTAAACAAATGATTGCCTATGGGAAAGTAACGTTTTGGATACAGAAACACAAACATCTAATCAGGCCATCTGCTCTTCACAGAAATACTTGAGTCAAATCTTGAGTCTATTTACTTTAAACAGACCATGTCACAGGAGTAGCTTCTCCCTAGAGCAGCTCTTCTCTCCTCATGCTGAGCCAAAGGTTCTCCTTCCTTCCCAGTTATTATCTTATGGTCAGGCCTTACGTTTATTTGCCAAACATCTAGTATAGAGGTATACAGATTATCTTCTGATCACATGCATCTATTTGTCTGAAACATATTTAGGATTTTTATAGTAATGCACTGAACTACAGACAGTACCAGGAGCATTCACTTCTCTGATTCTTAGGACTGATTACCAAAAAACCCCATTGCTCCAATCAACCACAGCACGTTTCTGAAGGTGTGAGAAATGCTTAAAGACAATTTTAAAAGTGAGAATAGGTCACAGCCTGAAAAAACATCATGCATGGGTTAATGGGACACTGCTGGGGTTAGAGGTGCTTCTTTAACTCTGCTGAGAAAAAAATCACTAGCCCATGCTACTTATTGCCATCCCTGCTTGTGTATAGTCCTGCCTCCCATCCTGCTACCATAGCCTACATATGTAGCTGCTTTAAACCATGATTTATTAAGTGCTGGTTGGTTGTTCAGACAAGAGGAAGGAGTTGCTGTAGTTATGCCAGCATACCTGAGAAGTGCCCAGGTGAGCAGGAGGTTAACAAGCAGCTGCCCCTTCACTAACAGCAGGGGGAGATCAAGTCCAATCACAGCTTAAGATCACACTCAAACTGTGGGCAGGGAGGAAAGCAGGTTCCAAAAGAACTTCCAGACTTTTCCTCCAGGTTTAAATAGAGAGAAAGCAAAGCCCAAACATCAACTGTATGCTGCTCCTCTTAGAGATCAATTAAGCAGAACGCTGTAGCAAACACTTTTGGGCTGCTAAGCTGAGTCCCCAGCATGGGTAAATTTGACATGGTGAGTATAAGTCAAAATGAGCAAGAGAAAAGGATAGATTTCTGGAAGGTGTTTAGGAGGCAGTCAGAACCAGATTAAGCAGCTTTCTTCCAGCAGTAATTCCTGAACCCAAGCAGAGGACAGCAACACATACAGAGGTAAGAAACAGCCCTGGAGAGAGCCTGTAAGACTCACCTTGCAGGATGTTGGCAGGGCACATGTCAATCTTGGTCACCACAACAAAGACAGGAACGTTAAGTGCAAGCGCCAGGCCTAAGTGCTCCTTGGTCATTCCAACAATCCCAGCATTACTCCCAACCTACATCAGAGATATAAAATACAGGGATGTCAATGCTTCTTCTGCAGTAAGCTGGATTACAGAGAAGGACTTGTATCAGACATACAGTAGACTGTGGTTAAGTTGTAGATGTGCCACTGGGGCCATATGACCAGACTCAGCTCATCTCAGATGTCGCTGCACACTGGCAAAGGACCGACTCATTTCTCCCCAATTTTAACAAGGTTTTCTAAAATGCAGAAATCCTTCCATTTTCAAGAATCACAAACCTTGGGCCTGTCTGAAACTGACAGTCCTGGGGCACTTGCCTCACAATACAGGACAGACAGCCACAGAGGCTTCTGCTCTCCTGCACTACGAGATGCTGCCTCCCTCCAAAACCACACAGACACTTTGCAACAGAAAAGAAGCCGAGGCTGTTAGAGCTGTGAAGAGCTCCACTCCAGCTGGTATGGCCCATCTTTCTTGCTACCTACCATAAGCATGCAGAAGTCAGGCAAGTGGCCGGTCATGCCAAAGACGGTGGTTTTCAGGTATTTTTCGTGACCAGCCAGGTCAATGAAAGTAATGACCTTGGTGGATTTCTCGCAGATCTTTGTCCATTCCAAGCTGCCACCGTGGCTGTCAGGTTTGTTCACCACGTTGCCCTCGCTGTCGAAGCCCAGAATGTCATTGCCCACACTGCTGGTGCGGCCTGACTCAATCTCGTGCTTGTGGCGGAAGAGCTTTTGCCGAGCAAAGCCCCGGCCATTGTCTAACTCGCCGTGAGTCAAGACACCCAGCAAGGTGCTCTTCCCTGCGTCCACATTGCCAACCACTGCTACCCTGCAGGGGAAAGGAAAAGGAGCCTGGTAAAATATGGTACCTGAAGAAATGAGCAAGTGATCAAAAAAACCCAAAATATCACTGCTCCTGCAAATAACTGGCTTTTGATCCCTATCCTTCAAACAGAGATTAAAAAATGTTAGAGCTTCACAAGCAAAGCAGAGATTATTTTATAGTTATTAATTAACAGAGGAGATCCCAGACTCTGTGGACTGGGATGTGGAAGACTGGAAACACTGTCACGGGTGTCCATAACATAGTCAACTGAACGTGACGCTGCTTGATGCCACACAGAGTGTCTCTATTCCAACTCCTTGTCTCCACAATCCAATATAAACACTGTGGCAACTCAAAAAGAAGACTAAATCCCAAGCTGGTCTAGAACACCTCTGCCTTTCTCACATTTCTTATGTTGCAACAGCACCAAGCGCTAAGAAGAGCACAAAAATTAAAACTGTTGTTCCCAGAAAAGGATAAGCTAAAAAAAAAAGTGAAATCTTTTAGGAGAAAGCCATGTCCTACAGCAAGTTCCTTCTTTGATCAATGTGGCTATTATGGCTGTTGGCAAATGTTGGAAATCCTCTCCATCCAGGCCTGGGCAGACTCTCAAGTCTATATAAGCAAGTATATGTCCATTAAAAGGTGACTTGGATCATCACAGTCTCGGAACAGAACCGGATCCTTTGTCAAAAGTATTGTGTTCCAGCAGTGTGCACATATACACACACACAGCCACATGTGCACAGGTGACTCCCCTCTAGCAACCCAGCATACAAAAAGATGCCCCCAGCTGTGAGGCTGTCACCCAGAGAGCTAAACACAGGCAAATTTCCACCAACAGTTCGCTCACAAAAGAGACAGCAACAACAACAAAAAGGCAATTTCATCAGCAAGGAGGGGTGAAGCTCGACTCCCTTTGTTGGGCAGCTCCAACACCCCGACCCGAAGCGGCGTTGCTGGCTCAGCACCACGCACTGCTCACACGGTAAAAATGCAGCTGGGCTGCTGACTAACCCTGTCTCCACCCGGCTCCTCACCTGACCTCCAGGAAGTCGTTGTCACCCACACGTTTCCGAACCAGGTAGTCGCGCACCTTGCCCCCGGCCTCCTGGTGCTCCCTCAGGAGGATCACGTCTGCCTCGATCTGCTCTGCCATGCTCTTCAACGTGGCGTAGGACGCCTCCATGTCTGCCTCACTCAGCCCGTACTCAGTCCCATCTGGTGTGGTGTGGAGGAGACAAAGGGCAGTCAGTGAGCACCACCTCGCAACAGGCAGCAGCGTTGTCATCCTGCCTGGGACCTTCACACACATCAGGATTTATACGTGGACTGGAGGTGTCAGCCATGTACACAGAATAAACACCCTTGGCCCAAAATAAGAAACAATGGTCTTCGCTCTAAGTCTTAAGAGACACTAGAAAACCACCATCTTTCATCTAGAGGAGTTTTCTTCACAATCTTCACAAGCAAATACATAGGGATTGGCAACAAAGACGCATTTCTAATTCCCTTACTTCACCTGCTGAAGGTACTTTGTGTCCTTTAGTCAGATAAAGTATCTCCTCTCATATTGCAAGAAGAGGTAAAGCATTAACAAAAGGGAAGCTCTGAGTAAAGCATCATCACAATTAGCCAGTAAATGTGGTACTGCTTCCTCTGAGCAGCTCACCCAAGCAAAAGAGCTGACAGTGGCAACTATCTAGACAGGGTCAAGGCCACCACTGTCTCTTTCCCAAACCAGGTGCTGTGAAGACACACAGATTTGACCCCAGAATCTCCTCCGTGGATAAAAAAAGCCCACAAAACAACAAACAAAGGTGGAGAGCCACACTGCACCCAGATGACCGAAGTTATTGCCATGAGTACATGTTCATATGCATGGCTGACTCATCGGCTGCTAAGCAGGAACTGCAGTTTGCATGAACTTATCAGCATTTTAATTACTGCCCAGCTCTAAAACTAGCAGAGTCACCGGGCAATTTCCAACCTTGCTCATAAACTGGCTGAGACTGAGGAATACTAAAACAAGCCTTGGGTTACAGGAGGGGAACGAGAAGTAGGGGACAGGAGATGGCAAGACCCAAGGGAGAAAGGGAAAGGTCACTACTGGTGAACTAATAATCTTCCTGTGGCAGTCTTCAATTGCTTCTCAATCAGCCGAGTTGGGTATCTGGGATGATCAAAATCACACATGCTGAAAGGGAATGAGAAGGAGAGACAGTGGCAGGGATACCAAGATCCTTTCTCTGTTGAAAATATCCCCATCCTCCTCGACTACACTGCAACCCAAAATGAAGTCAAAAGTTTAACCTCATATTTTAAGAAACAAACGCCTATTTCTAAGTAAATCACTGCAACAACTACCAGTTAACACTCTTACAAGGTATCCTGGAAGAGAAAGCAGGTACTAGCCTGACTAGCTAGATCTCCACTGCAGATGTGCTTATCCCGAACACCAAGGATACAGACTACACTGGGAAGCTTGCTTGGAGGCAAGAGCATGATCCCTGGCTGCATGAACACTGCCCATCTAATTCTGGCTTCTCCTCTATGTTGGCTGCTTCACAAAACTCAAAAAAAAAACAAAAAAAAAAAACCAAAAAGCACACAGCTCCCTCCCTCCATTATTTTAGCCAATCCTGGCAGGGTTTCAATTTTCCTCCTCAAACACAGCAAATGCCTCATCATGACAACTTCATATTCAGCAGATATCCAGCATACCTGAAATATGCATTTCACCTGTTGATAACCATAGACAATTATTTTATATCCAGAAATTTCTATTTCAAAGCAAGGGCATGCTTTGCCCTTTAGCAGCATTTACCAGCAGCAGATGCAAATACTCAAATTGTCAAAAAGAACAAAAATGTAATCCATGCTAACTGCTAAAATCTGCAAAGGCAAATGACTGCAGTCACACGCAAATTAATGTGACAATAAAGGTCTCATGCTGAGCAAAGGAAAACCTTTCCCTTCATAGCAGCCACATACTACCACAGAAAGTCAAGTCAAAGCAGCATATATTTTGGCTATGTCAAGTATCTATAATAAATTCCTGTGGGGTAAAAATATGTTATTTCCAACGGAGCAGTGAACCAAATCAAAGAGAACAAGACCTTCACAGACATTGAGGACATCTGTACTAAAGCTGTTATTATCATTTTAGATTCTTTGTCTTTTCTTGGTGTGCTTAGACAAGATATGCCTTATTTCCATATAAGAACTTGCATGATTTTATTAAAAAAATATATTTAGCTCCATTACATGAAACAGTTGTTGGCAGGAATAAAACAAAAGAATCTGCCCCACATATTCTGCTATATTTTATGGACATTTTCAAGTCATTCTGGAAAAGTAAGCATTAACTTCAGCAGCAGTCTAGTTAGATGAACGAGGTTTTTCTTATAATTTTAATAATTTGTTGTTGTTTTGCTGGAGAAGCTATACTCACCTGATCCTTGTCCAATGACATAGATGGTCTCCCCACATCCCTCATCAATCCTCTCTGACATCTGCTGGAGCAAACTGTCATACTGCTCTGAAGTTGGACTCACCATCACCAGCTGGAAAAAAGATTGAATATCTATTTGCAGATGTCAGGCAAACAATTCCAAAACCAGCTTCAGTTACAAGCACAATCAATCTATGTGCTTTATTGAAAGAGAAGGACTCTTTTTCCAGGACCGCTTTGTGGTGGTTTTGTTTTGTTTTTTAAACCAGTTCTGCTGACAGCTACTTCCTTGTGACACAGCACAAGGTTGTTTGTCTGAGCTCAGAGTTCATTTATGCAAGAAAATACACTTCAAAGCAAGTAAGAATACCAAGCATCTTATTTTGATGTAACCAGTGTTTAAAAGCCACATTTAAGTGAACACTTCAATATGTTTTCATTCAAGGAAAACAGCAAGGGGAGCAGATTTTTCTCCACAGAAATTCCTTAGCTGGGTACTCCACAGTCTCTGCTGCAAAGAGTGCTGCTGCTCCCCTGAAACATGACTGGACAGCCACAGAAAGCCAACCAGACCTCACTGCAGAGAACACCTGGGCACCAAAATCCAGAGCATCTTTTAAGTCTTTCACGTATTTGATGTCCCTTCTGTTTTTTGAGGGGGCAGAAGGAAAGGAGAGAACACAAATAAGCATTATTTTCAAATTTTAGGTACTTTAAACAATGGTGCCGAGGGGCAGACATGCAAAGCAATTTGTATGAGCACATCTAGAGGTTTCAGCAGTGGAGAGCTGCAGTTTTGTAGGTCAGCAGCTGTTCCACCAACAAACTTTGACTGCAGCTATTGCAATAATCAAACTTCCTTTGCCCTTCCCTGCAGGAACATCAAGAGAATGAAAAAATAAAAACAAAAACAAAGCAGGAAATGAGGACAAGAGAATGCTTCAGGAATGATTTTTCCTAGAATGAAATAGCACCATTTCTGGCAGAAACCTGCACTGCTCACACAGCAGAGCTGAAGACACTTGCACAGAGCAGCCACAATGGCAGTGACAGACCAAGGAGACCTCCATCAGCACTCTACCTGCTCTCTGGCTGCCTCCATGGTTACAAATCTGTTGGTGGCTGTACAGCAGCCTGATAGCTGTAGCAATTGATACCCATTTCTGTGAAAAAGGCACTTTAAGTAACAGTTATTAAAGGCTGACACCCACCTAAGGGTAGGCACACCTGTGCCAACACTCAGTGACATCCACAGCTGTCCCTACATACACAAAAATCACACCCAGAAAGAAGCACTTTCCTTCACTATGCACTGAGACTGAAAACTGTGCTAAATTAGATGTTTGCCTAAAACATATGCTTTAGAGCAGTTGACAATAACATCCTCCAGTCTGCCCAGCATTCTCTACCACAGTCTGACTTGCTCAGCACAGTCAACACAATGTGTTTTCAAGGAGAAACTACCTTTAGCACTACTATTACTACCACTATTACACACTTGATGAAGGCCTTTTTTGGAAATCTAGAATGTAAAGGAACCCAAACCCCCACAAACAATGTTTAAGCAGCTTTCAAAACCATAGTGATTCATGCTGGGACACTGAAGCACAGACAGCAGGTGCTGGTTAGAAGGATTAAGGCTGCCAAAGCAACTTTTTCCACAGATGTTAAGGGTCCCAGGCAGCAGGGATGTGTCTGCAAGGGCCAGACAGCTACAAGAGATAGAACCACTCTCACGTGCCCCTTTTGGACACATGCCCTACCTAAGCCTCTCAACTACTTGGCAAAGTGGTCTGCAAAGTGTACCAAAGCACTCTGCCCTGCAAGGTCACAGTCTTTCTATTTCATGCCATAAAAGAATGAGTTTTGCTTTTATTAGTTTTTCTTTCAGTTCTGTTTTACTTTTAGTTTCATATTCTTCTTGAGGGAAACCACTGGATGTTAATGCACTGAGAGTGAAATCAACAGCTGTTGAGAGGCTCAATCTGGGCAGGAATGGAAGGCTGTGTTTTGATGTGTAGGCTCATTTTGCTCTGCAAGTACTTTCAGGAATACCCGGATGCACAGCAGACAAGCTCATTCTTTAGGCCAGTGCACCAGCACAAGCCAGGGACTCGAGAAGATCTATTAAACAGGCTGTAACACACACAAAGATCAATAAAATAGCAGCGGCCACCAGTACAGGGCAAACTAACTTCAGTTTCTTCAAGTCTCATCACCAGCTTTGTTCTTCTGAGTCCAAGTGCTTCGGCAGTGTGAGCAGGCAGGCTGCTGTAACAAGGCACTCAGCAGCTCATTGTAGCCTTCCCTCACGCTGCCAGCAGGAGGGCTGGGGGCCTCCAACAGCACAGGCTCACATCAGCCCACAACACTGTTCCCCCACACTGCTGCTTTCACTGCCATGCAAAGGCACTTCTGAAGGCTGTTCCAGTGGCAGACTGCTTCCAAAGTTTACTCCGTGGCCGATGAAGCTCACAGCTCATGTGACACAGCAGGACATCAAGAGAAGTGTCTGTAGATAAAACAGCAGCTTTCATGGATCACACCTTCCAATGCCACTCAGCGTTTCTGACAACCATTTCTGCAGCCACAGCCCCAGCCAGTTGTGTGGTTTCCTGGATCATTGCAAGATGTGATGTGCTGTTTTGAAGATCTCTTTAGTTTCCTGTCCTCTGCTATCTCCTCCGTCAAAGACAAGCGCTCCATTTTGGCTCCTCTGCTTTTTTTTTTGCTCTTCACCTTCGAGCAACCCCTCCATGGCTGCACTACAAATGCATGTTTTTAGGAGGTTTTCACAAAGTCAAAAATGTTCACTTTTGTCCTTTCCACTTTGTCAGGCACTGAGCAGTTATCAGTAGGAGCCATGCAGGTCTAGCAACCTCAGGTTTCCTATAGAAAAAAAAGTGACAACCAGTTATTGTTTTATTCTTAAGACAGCAGAAGGAAACATCTCACAAGTTCAAAATGCCATCTCTCAAGTCCCTTCCCAGTCTCTGGGGAGGAGAGGTGGCTTTGCCTGCCTCCATGAGGCAGACAAACTAAGTATTAGGGGCAAACCAAATACTATGTGGTACACAGCGCTGCTCTTTGCTGGAAAAACAGAGCCTGCCATTTTGCACAGCTGGAAAGCCACCATCAGCCATCGAGGAGCTGGGGGAAAGGCACCTTCTGTAGTGTCATATTTTGTTTTCTATGCCCTGTAGACATACATTGTTCAGGTGCTATTATGTTCTGTTGTCAATGTAGATCTAATATGAGTATCAGCTTCACTAATAGCCTTGTGTGCTATGGTTTTTGACCTGAAAGTTGATTACTGCTGCAGTGTGCTGGCACTGAAGGGAAAACAAACACCCATTAAGATCAACATGGTAATGAATTTGTGCTGATGAATGGAACTGTTTCCCTGACCAGCAGACAAGGTGCACTTGATAACAGAATCCCAAAGTGTTCCTCTCTAAAAAGAGCTCACCTTACACAGAGGGAAATGACCAGGGGAAAGTATTAACACAGCCAAGGGGTGGGTCAGAGGGACCAGGACAGAACCAGCAACTATCAAACAAACTGACTGCAGTGGGAGCCCCCATTTTAAGTAGGGATTGGAGTGGAACAATTCAACTGGAGAAAAGTTGGGGGGAGTGGGGAGGTAAGGGAAGCATTCTCACCATATGAGATTGCTCTTTTGAGCACACAGTGGGAGATTAACTCAGAAAGATGGAGCAGAATTCACAATTTCAGCTCTCATCCAAGGTGGGGATGAATGAAAAGTCCAGGTAAAAGACAGCAGGTGCACAATGCTGTATGGAAAAGTAAATTGTAATAAAGGTCAAAAAAATGCTTACCTACCACCTCCACAGCACCTCCAGATTTCCAGGAATGGAAGACAGACTGACACTACAAATGGGAGTTTGTGGGAGAAAAGCACTCTTCTCTCTTTGTCGGAGTTTTGGTCAGGTTCCTGGCTGTCAAGAATCAGTGATGCAGTCCTTGGCATCCTCCTTGGCTCTCTTCCACAGCAGTCACGTCCAAGACAAAGGACAGATCAATATTGGCATCCTGTATAAAAATCTTGTCCAGCTCATTAAGGCACAATCAATAGATACTACAGGTTTGATTTCTGTTCTTTACTACCTTACAAGACATCTTTGTTACTTTTTTTTTTAATACAGTATCACATTGTAAAAAAAATCCATTAAAAAGGAAAAGGTTTCCATGTCCACAGACACAATTCCTCTTTCCTTCTCTGCACAGAGAGGGCAAGAAAGTCCAGGACTCTGGAACAGCTTAAGCTCGAAGTATGAAGAGGAGGGATGACAGAAAACTAGGAGGAAACAACAGCTATGCCGACTTCTGGATCACATAATTACAAGTGGACTGAATGAAGTTTTCAGGAGACTTTAGAGTGGGAGATAGCACCACAGTACACCAAAGCCATGGCAGCAAAAGGCATACAGTTAAAGAGATCAGCCAATTGGGAAAAAAAACAAATAGAAGACAGTGACAGAAGGCAACTAAGTCTGTGGCAGGCTCTGGTACACACATATTACTACAATGTACCTTCCTGCAGGATGGAAGCGAGAACTGGTTCTGACAGAAATAAGACCACCACACAGTTTTGTCACTGGGATCCTAGAAAGGAGCTGCACAAGGCGAACAAGCCCTTTCTGCGTTGACTTAACCCTGTTTGCAAGAGCAGAGCACCCTCGTCACTGGGCTCTTGTGCTCAAAAGTCACAAGCTCTGACCTCCTTTTAAGATTGTGGAGAAAGTCCCAGGAACTAGTACAACTGGCAGCAGAGATAACCAGAGCCCCAGCGCGGAGAGCAAACGTCAGCGGGACGCTGCAGCAGCTGACAGCTCCGAACCCTGCGCTTCCTGAGCCGCTGCACCGGCGCCGGGCCGGCGTTCCCCCCGAGCAGCCGAGCCGGGGAAGGCGCAGGGCGGAGCAGCCCGCCAGCACCTCCTGTCCCGGCCGGCCTACGGGACAACTTGACTGCGCCTCTCCCGGCCGCCTCCACACGGCACCTCTGGCTCTGCCGCCCGCACAGGTGATGCTGGGGCCGGGGGAGCGCTCACGGGAGCCCCCCGTCCCGGCGGAGGCAGGCGGGCCCCAGCCTTTCGCTCTCCTGCGACAGGTGCGGGGGAGCGGTCGGCTTCGGGGCAGCCCCCCGCGCACGGCCGACCGGCAGGGGGGAGAGCAGCGGGGGCTGGCGGGGTGATGGCGCTCGCCGCCGCCCGCCCCCCCGCCGGGCCTACCTTACTGGTGAGGTCGATCTCGGGCTCGCCGTTGAGCGCCTCGCCGTCCTCGCCGTCGAAGGCTGCGCGGAGGGGACAGGCGGCCGCAGCCACGCGAGGCCGTCCGCCCGGGGAGCCGGGCTCCGGGGCGAACATACAGGCCGGCACCGGGGACCCCCCGGGAACCGGGGATCTGCTCCGCTCCGCCGCCGCCATCTTCCCTTCCCTGCCCGGCTCTCCGCCCCGGCGCCGCCCCCGGGCCCGCCAAGGCGGCGCCCGCCAATCACCGGCGGCGCAGCGGCTAAATTTGCATGTTGCCATGGCGACAGTGGGTGGCGTAGTGGTTATTCATGAGGAGAGGCCACGCCCGCTCGAAGCGCGCGAAGCCAATGGGAGACGCACTGCCAGCTCGGCTTGTTTTCTACACATACACACACACAACAGAGCCGCTCGACGTGTCCGGGCTCGACTGTCCAATAGGAGAGCCGGGCTTCCTGACAAACAACCTTGACAGCCAATCGACTAAGCGAACCCAAAGGTATGGGTGGGACTAAGTGCTGCAACAGAGCCCGCCCTGGGGGGAGGGCATTCTCTACGATTAGCCAATGAGAAAGAGGGAATTTTTTTACTGATAACTGTGTCAGCCAATGGAGCAGGGTGGGAGTGCGCCCGGTGTCCCTGCAGTCCGCGGGTCCTCCTGTCCCGGCGCGTCGTGCCGCCAGCTCCCGGGGTTTGCAGAGCACCCCGCCGCCCCTACCGCCTCGGGCTCCCTACAGAAAACCCCTACGCCTGCTCGCCATGCGAGCCCACAGTGTTCAGACCGCCGGCAGGGGCCGCCAGCGCCAAGCAGGAAAGCCCTCTGGCTGAGGGGCTCTGCGGACGGGCAGGTGACCCCTGCAGAGCGGCGGGGAAAGCTGCCTGTCCTGCTCCTCCGGCAGCCCCACGCACGCCTGTGGCACAGAAGGCAGCCGGGGGAGGACTGACGTTTGTTTATCCAGCGGGCGGCGAGACCGCTTTCGCTCCTGTCCCGGCTCGTTTTGCCGCTGACGTCAGAGGGGGCGGGGCCGACGTCGGCGCGTGCGGGGGGCGGGGGGCCGCGCGCGTGTGTGCGTGCGTGCGCGAGAGTGGCGCGAGCGGGGCCCCGGGGCCCCTCCGACCCTCCCGAGGGCAAGGGCGGGCGCCTCGGCCCAGCGGCGAGCCCCGAAGGGCTGGGTGGGGGTTAGACGGGGGCCTCTCCTCAGCGCGGTGGGCTGCGGGGGTCGCTGGGCCTTGGTCGTGGGAAGCGGCTCCCGCCTGGGTTGCTGCTGCTGCTGTTTCGGTGGTGGTGGTGGTTGTGAGGGCGCGGGGTGGGGAGGGGCGGGGTGGAAAGGTGCGAGGCAGGCCGTGGGGCTGGTCCCGCCTGCCCTACCCTCGCTCCCACGGGCTTTGAGCTGCCTGTGGTTGCTAACGGAGACTTCCCTTTGTCGGAGCGCAGGGTGACCTGTGAGGAATCGCCTTCCCCGCAGCCTGGACTTGGGTTTCTCGTGGCCTAGCAAGAAGTGGTTTCCTTTCCCGAGCTGTTGGCATCTTTCTGCCAGGATTCAGTCGTTCCCAAAGGAATGGAGGAATGCAGCTGATAAGTGCTTAACCACCCTGTACTCCATAGGCAGTGCCAGGCGCTTGCTTCATCTTCCTTTTGGCACTTTGGGGGTGGGCCTCTCCTTGATACCTCGTCTGGGTACTTTTTTAGTGGCACTGTAGACCAAAGGAAATGGAAGAAAAGGAGCGATGTGATAAATTCCAGCTGGTACCTTGACACTAAGGAGAATCCTATATTTTGACTTTTTTTTTTTCTGTGGAGGGGAGGGAAATACTACATTTTATGGGGTATGGGAGGAGGGAGGTTGCAGATCTTCATGTGGTTTTTAAAGCCAGCTGTCAGAGGCAATTACTGAATAGACTGAAGCACAAGAGGAGGATTCGCAAGCTGGAAGCAGCGCTAGCCCACAAAAGGAAAGGGCAGTGGGCTGCTGTTGTGACTGTGGAGGCAGAAACTTCAGCCTCCTTCATTTTTCACCACCTACTCCCCATCCACCCGTCGAGAAAATGAGTTGTGTGCCATGGAAAGGTGACAAGACCAAATCGGAATCTCCCGAGCCGTCCCAGCTACCGCCACAGCACATTTACCATGAGAAGCAACGCAGGGAGCTGTGCGCCCTCCATGCCCTCAACAATGTCTTCCAGGACAGCAACGCCTTCACTAGGGAAACCCTGCAGGAGATTTTCCAGAGGTAGGATGCTCTCTGTACTGGCATTAGCTTCCCCTGGTCCTCTGCTGACTGGAGGAATTGTTGGGTGTTATCTGGGGGGAAGTAGGAAGAAAAGGAGGGATTCAGACTGTGCCACTGCTTTGAACTGAATGTATCTTGGTTTTTTAACCCCAGCCTTTTTTTTTTTCCCCTCCATGCAGAAATTCTTTCTCGTTTTACTTGTTTCTTAACCTGTTCTGACTGCCAGCTTTGGGTCCAAGGGTTTTATTGTAGATGCTGTTGTGGTTGGAGTGCTGTCTTCCTCTCTACTCACCTTAAAGCCTCTTCTACATGTCTTCCATATTTTTGCCCCTGACTTGTGTAGATAAATTACCTAGATGTTAATAATATATTTGGGGATTGCCTTGGGAGAATGAAGGTAGCAGGAATGACTTCTTGACTTATTACTGCAACACTTGTAAGTTTTTTAGAAATTAGGAGTTTTGCCAAATGAGCGATTCCATATTCAAAAGTTCAGTGAAGTTCTTCAAATATTATGGGCTTTTTTTTTTCCATGCAGCAAGACTCTCTGTACTCTCTCAAACTAGATTTAATTTCAGTAGCTGGATGCTTGTTTCCTGTGGCATTGCTAAACGTTTCCCAGGAGCTTCAGATGATTAATAAAGTGGGTTTGAGTTTTACAGGGATGAATATAAATTATTAACGTGGCCTATGCAATAGCTCATATTTTGCTCAGTGTTTATTTTATTGTGTTTTGATGCTTTATGGAAATTCTCCTCTGTGGGCCTTTATAATTCTGGCGACCCACCACTGATGAATCTAAGTGATGATAAAGGAAATGATGGAAAAGGGCTCTCCTGTGATACTCAACCTGCAGACGTTGTAAAGATGCTGTAAGTTATGGCTGAATGCCTGTTAGCAGCAGTTGCCAGCATCTCGTGTTTGTGACAAGCAGGAGATTGCACACCGTGGCAGCACGTGCTGTGGGATGAGGCTGTTGTGGTACCCTGTGCTGATGAGCAGGGAGCTGTTGCTGCTCTCCTGAAAACTGGCAAATTTATGGAACTGGTGCTTGACTCATCAAACTCATGCCTGTCTTTGGCAAAAGAATGTGGTGAAGGACAATAACAAGTATCAGATTGAAATGCTATTTATTGTATAGCATTGTAGGTGGAACTCCTGCTGGTGGAGTGGAGATGGCCCATGGCAGGCTCAAGGCACTCTTTGTCCAGCGTAAACACACTGTGGTTTTGTTCCAGAGCAGCAATTGTCAGAATCTTAATCACAGCTGGATTGCTCTTGGCCTGAAGCAAACAAAGGCAGTTCATGTGGTAGAAGGAGTGTGATGATCTAATTAGTTGGCTTTCATTGTGTTTGGTGAGACAGAATTAGTGTGCAGCATGAAACTTCTCAGAAAAAGACTGGATATTAATCTTGTTGGACCTCTTTCCCTAGGAGGGAGAGTTTGTCTTTTATTCCAGCCTGGAGTTGTTCCATCCTAATATTCAGATCAAGATACAGAGATTGATTCACCCCCATGATAGTATGGAAATACACATGGATATTGCTCTTGGAAAGGGATGACCTATAAGCTATACAAAAGAATTGCCACTACCTTTCTATTTCTGTTGAGTGCCTGCTTGTGTGTAGCTCTTTGACTTGCCTTTGAGAAGCGTGAATTTAGCTCCCCTTTTTATGTCACTTGTCTTTTCCTGTGTCTACTCACATTCTATGTATTGATAAAGGATGGATGAGTATTTTTAATAACCTGCAAAAATGTTGAGGTCTGATTTTTAAACCTGGTGTTGACAAGGTAACAAAATCACAAATAAACGTAAGCTCTCTAGCTTTTACCACATTCCTTGGAAAATGATTGAACCACTTTGCTTAATCATTAGCTTCCCTTTTGCTGCATCCTGTTGTGTAAGGCCAGGGTATCATCTCAAGCATATGCTGAAACTTGGTCTGGGCACCCCTCTGATTGTGTAGTCTTTCCATCTTCTTTCCTCTAAAGCGAGAAATACCTTCTTGGTGTTCCTCTGGCTTTTGTTGCAGGAAGTATGATTGCATGTTTCAAATGTTGCACGGAGATACAAACAAAATCTCTTTGCTTCACTGGAGTCTGCATATTGAGACCTGATTAGGAAAGACAATGCATGCAGGAATCTTGGAGCCCCTTGTGTTAAGACAACATGTTGATGAAAGTTTCTGATAGAAGGATCAGGAGGATTATTTACCTGGATTTCTGTCCAGCTTTGTCAGTCTTCCTCAGCTCAGTGGCTACATAAAAAATACCAAAACAACAATTTAATTCCTTGCCTGGTCAGAATCCTTCAGCTGATGATTGTGGACCCTGCTTAGGTATGTGTGGGTCAAGATGTTGAGGTGGCTCTTGGGGAAAGTTTGTTCACAGAAGCCAGTTTTTTGTTGCCCACGCTCACCTCATTGCATTTCCGGGGCTCTGGAAGTTATGTGAAAGAACAAAGATAAATGTGTTCTTTCAGCTCTTGAATAAACTTGTCTGGAAAATGGTGCCATGAGAGGGTGCTTCTGCAGCCCAAAGGGCTCTCTGCATTGTAAGGTTTTCCTTGCTCGCTGGCACTTAGGAGAGTTGGTAGGTTGAAGCAATGATCTTGAGGAATTAGGGATAGCCAAGTGATCTTGCTTTATGGAGATGCTGGGAGAGCTGTGACAAGCTGCAGGTTCTGTCTCTGTGATTAGTAAAATACACCCCCATGGTGGTATTAACAGCTTTTCCTCTTACCATGGTACTGGACTCCTCTCCCTTCTGTAGTGAGCATGCTTCCCAGACTGTTCTGCTGCAGACTGCTCCACTGCAGAAAAACTCACAGCTGAAGACAAAGGCTACCTGCCTGTAGCCTCTCCAGCCTTGGTTGCTCTGAAACTCCCTACTCAGTCCACTGCTTTCTTGTCAAATGCCTTACGCTGTCATGGTGTCACTGCAAACTGGGAAATAAACTCTCCACAGCTGCTTAAGTAAGGAAGCTGAGATTCCTTTATTCAGCGTGCTGGGTGCATGGGGATCACTCCACCTAACATGTGCACCCAGCAGTCTAGTAGTCATATAACCAGACCAGGCTATATGCATGAAAGCAGTATATATTCACTGCACTTCTATTACAAATGCATTATATTTCCTGAATACATGCATATATGTTAATTGTTTCCATGGATTTATTTGGATGTCAGTAAGGATCTTTTGAGGGTCATTTGGGAACATCCCATTCCCCAAATTTTCTCTTTATTGTTCTGGATCCTCTAAT